TTGGACTTTTTCTGAGTTTTTCGGAGGTATGCCAAACCCAATGCAAAAGCCAGCTGTTTGGGCCGACCAGACCTATCCCCACAGAATTAAACACTTTACTACTGTTTAATTCTGTGTGGTTGGGGAATGTTAGGGTTGATGAAAGTGAAGCAGAAAGATCATGCTGACTTTATGTATTAAGTCATTTAAGTGAATATATTCGCAGACCTAAAAAAAAAAGACAGGTTTGGTCACACTGGTACATGTGTATTTTAACCCGAAAATAAAATTATTCTTTGAGTGTCAAAAGAGTAAAAGTTTTCCATGTAATCATCTCCTTCCACTCACCTAAAACCCGAATATGAAATAACCACGAGATGACAGGACTTCTTTCCATCTGCACGAAAACATGGAATTTAAACAACTTTTAGGCAACAATGCTCCAGAAATAACACAGTCTTTCACAGTACGTGGTTTGGATTATTGTTACCAAAACTGCCAAGGCAGTTGAAGCAGGATATGTCCTGAAAACCTCTCTCAAGCCACTGCTGAGAAACACGCTGTACGTCAATTTCCTGGGTCCAACAAAAAGCACTGGCGTATATGCGTAGCAATGGGATGTACACGTTCAACCATCAGTCCAACAAGAGATGATAGACTTTTATTTTTCCATGAGAGTAAATCCTCTAAGTCTCCGCCCCTTTTGTTCCCATCTGGGCATAACCCAATTCAAATCTTGGCGCCAAACGGGCAGGTGGCACTTACATAGTCCACCCTGTCCTCAGCCAGCCAATGGAAGCACTTAAGGAAGAGCAGGAAGGTGAACATGGCGACAAACTTGGGGCTGAAGTCGTCCCTGAAGACAGTAAATGCCAAGCAGGTCTCTGTCACTGCATACCAAGAGCGCTCTATCAGATGCTGAGGGGATAGCAAATGGTCACACGTTGGCATTGCAAGAGGTTCTCAACAAATGGTCACCGAAATTTGAGTGGCTACAAGCTAAGTTACAAATGGTAAATTCTCTAAGGATTGGTGGAATGATTTCAGATGAACACTAACGGTATATGCACATGTACTGTATACGACTCAAACAAGTGTTTTCTACCAAAGAGTTACAGGTGCCAACTTATCTGTGCATCTTTACAAATATTGGTTTTTGTCAATCATTCTTTATTTTTACCACACCCCTCAGCCATTTACAAATTTGACATTACATTTATCTTTACAGTGTATTAACTTATATGTTAAATTAACATTATGTTAGCGACATAAGTACTTTTATATTTTTCCAAATTTTTTTTATGTGGAAGATTTCAAAAGGCATACGCAGTTTGTCGAGTAGGAATCCCAAACACAACAAATTACATGTACGTATGTAGCTATTATTAAACATAAGAACATATGAAACAAATTCCTGCATACTCCTGCAACTTTCAGGGATTTGCTGATTTTCTTTTTAATTTGATGCTCACCACAATTGGGATCCTTCATGAAAGCTGTTTGTCCAATCTGTCAACTATAGATCAAAATATTAAGCTAAAATATGTGACCCACTATGCCCAAACCAGGCTGAGGTAGGTAACTTCATATTACCCCAAGTAGAGGAACTTCCAGTGTTCATGGAAGTTCCACAACTGTCCCTGCCTGTAAGTACCAAAGCTTACAGCAGACAGAGTTTACAATTTGGTTTACTTTGAAACGTGAAAAAAAGGGAGAGAGGAATTGTCAAGCGTCACAGTTACCGGTGCCTCCTTCAGCCTACTGTTGGAATGATGGGTTACATGAGCTCAGTACATGAAAGTGAGAACTAATGTGATACAAATCATGTGAAAGAAGGCCCTTTAGACAAATTTCACAGTGAATCAGCCGGTTACAATGTCAGGTTCTGCCCCCCTTTTACTCACCTCCATTTCTGCTGCTCTGAGCTGGCCAAAAAATACCTTCTTAAACAGCTTCCCCATCAGGACTACTAACACAAAGGCTTGCATGTAGATCACCTGCAAAATAAGCAAATAGAGCCGAGTCAATTCGAATAATTCATTTGAATATTTGACCGTCATTTTGATCGAATATATCCGAGTATTCGGTTGTACTGACCGGAAAATTGTTAATGAACAAATCGTTTAGCACTGCTAAACGTAATGGACAACACGTCCGGTGCCCCAACTGTATAAGGTACTCGTACATGCGTACTTGGAGGACCATGTTCGTCTGTAGAGTTATTGCACCAGCAAAACCTAGGCACGCGTAGAATGAGAGGAGGCATTGAGAAGTTAGGCTTTAGTGTTGTACTGTACATGTGTCAAGTGAAAAACGGTCAGATTTGACATTGCATGACATTGCATTGTAAGTAGGTATGCGACACCACGCGATCTCGGACGCTCTGCATTGTGGTCATGCTGCATGTTACCAATACTGCATGCATGTGTCGGTAGTGTTTTTTAACTGCCAGGTACATTGAAAAGCATGCTTTCATACGCGGCACGAGAAAAGCTGCCATTCAACATTGTGCGGTCTTTTTCTGTGCAAAGTACTCAAGCGGGCTTTTAGTATGTCAACAAATCAGCATATTTTAACCGAACTCAAGGTAAAACGCTCTGAAAAACACATGGAACTCCGAACATTCAGTTTATAAATATATTTTTCTCTAATACCGTGAAAATTTGAAACCCACACACTTTGAACTGTGATCCGCAAAAAAAGGTCATCCGATGCGTCAGCTCCAGCTGTTGATCAAACATGTTTAATGCGTTCTACCACGAGAATCTTGGCAGTTGAAATATACTCCAAAAATCAAGTTTGCTTATTATTAATTTAAAATGGTAACAGCCTTTCTTCCGGTTTTCTTTATTTTTACACGCCAAAATTTTATTCCCAAATCCAATTTTAAAATAAATGTAATAGTATCACACTTGATACTGCCCTCAAAAGTTGAATTATAGGTCATATTAAAGCTTTTTTTATGCTCTTTACAATGGTACCAAATTCCAGGAGAAAAACAATTTTCATTTTTTTTGGTCACCCACAAGCTTAGGCCTACTTGGTAGGTCTACTTAAGTTGTAACTTGTATTTTGTAAGGTAGGCTACAGACTAATAATATAGTATGCCAGTCATCAGTACTCAGTAGGACTAGGAGGTCAAAGGTATTTTTGGTAACTACCTGACTACTGCCTTTTACTGGGATTTTTGGGGGACTGTTTACGCTTTACTATATGTAATGTCGTGGATGACCGATCCAATACAAAATTCAAAAATTTTACTTAACGTTAGGAATAGGGGGGTTTATGACCATTAGCACCCTGTTCCTATTATAAGGAAACAAAGTCCACTTTCTCAAACTAACTAACATTTTGACCTTAAGGAACCATTACTCAATGCTGATAGACGTAGTTTAGGTAAATTTTGACAACATTTAAGCAAGAAAACTTCAAATTTCTAACCTGAGTTTGGCAAAAGACAACCACTCAGTCGAATCACGCCATTTTGTTTTTCGTCCAGTTACCCGACTCTCCATCCAGGTCAAGGCACCAGACTACATTCGCTTATTTGTTGTTCACAGCTACCAATCGGGGCAGTCATGTACGCTGCCATTTTACCCATAACCAAAAGCCCTGTTCTCTTTTCTTTCTGATATGTAATAGGACATCACCAACAACTTGTTTAGATAAGTTACTTCGAAAAAGTAGAATTTGTTCCCTTATAAAAGGAACTGGGTGCTAAAGGTAATGAACCCCAGCAGAATAGGAGCCCTAGCCTAGGCCTACTTCCGTTAAACGCTGAAGCACTGCACTACAGTATCAGTACCTAGGTAGGGCCTATGGTTATCACACAGGTTTACTTACCGCCATACTCGGGTTTGATTTCGTCAGATACACGACTGATGGGTAAAATTGCTTCTTCTGAAAGAATGCATGACCAACTACAGACGCTGTAAGGCCAAAACTGGCCACTGTGAGTAAAAAACCTCTCATTTTAGACACAGAATTCCCCGAGACTCCTACTAGTACTAGACCAGAATTTAGAACAAAATTAAACTGTGATTTTGACCCTGCCCAACGACCTTTCACACAACTGGCCCTCATGTGTGCCCGTCAAGAAAACGCGTTCTTTTCCATGCATACGGGGAAGGCTACCGATTACCAGCCTGGAATAACACATCATCAAACTAAATAGAGGGCGCTAAATATTTTAGCAGTAGAGATGTTTTGCATGCTATCAAGCGTAGTTCACGTGGCTCATCCTCATTTGTCAACAACTTGCACAAGAGATATGTCACGAATTTCTCTTTACTTTTCCTGTTTCCTGTGACTGACGGAAGGCTTAAAACAGGGCGATCAGGAAAATGATCTGGACATACTTTATCATCTACCCTAACTGGAGACTGTACATACATTTAAGTATAAGTATTACTTTGGTATGCCCCTATAAAATGTATCGGGGATTCGCCCCGTCAGAAAATCAAAAATTAAACTTCCAGAAAGTTTTATTTTATCCAACTTAAGGAAATGAACTCAAACATCACGGCCATTCAGTGCGACTATTAAGAAAATCTGCTCTGGAAATCTAGCGGAAAACTAAACTAGAAATTTGAACCAGATGGAAGATTTGAACGAAGAGAGGCGGAGACCACCCATGACTCCGTCTTGTCTTTTAGCTTTTCCGTTTCGGATTCTTGTAATTTTGATGTTCTGTAAAATTTACATTTAATCATTTATTTTCAAATGTTTTTTATTGTATTATACACACAGAGAAACAACTTACATTTTCTCAACGTTATACCCGTACAGAAAAAAATATTTGAAATTTAAATTAAACCCTCTAGGGGAATTGAAAAGATCCGATGTTCAATTTTTCAATCAATTATGCAAAGTTGGTTATATATAGCAAAAACGTTAATAGATTATTAAACATCTATCTTGAATAAGCTTCAATCGCATCAAATACTATGGAAAACTTCGCGAGGGACATAGGTTTGCTAGGCCGAGTGCTTGGCGCAGAGGCCACCAGCGAAAATGTTGGAAATTGGGCAGGGGTGGGGGGGGGTGTTGCCCGGCCATGGAAATTCGAAAAGGTGGGGGGTGGGGGGTTGACACCATATCATACACTTTATGTCGGGGCAATGTCAAATGAATGCAGGAGATGGCATGTTTATGACTTTTTAAATTTGCCTTCCTTTTTAGTGATATTGTAAGAATTGGAGTTGTTGGAAAATCAAATAAATTCTTTACAATCCGCTTAATCATTTTGCTCATCACAAAAATTGTGGTGGGATGATTCAATAGCCCATCCACTCCCACCTCAAAAAGTGGGGGGGGGGGTTAATACCCCCGGGATTTTTGCTCATGCTTGACACATTTCCGGACGCCACCGGCTATACGGAACCTAATGATACTGGCGGCGTAGTGCACTTTTCAATTTAACATAATGTAAGACAATTTTCTACATTTTTCAACCAGTCTTACTAGTTCTCGGACGGTGATTTGCTATATTTTGCCCAAAAATCGAAAATGTGTCGTACTAACACAAAGACTAACTGCGACTATAACAGCGTCATCGGGGGTATATACTGTCACTTTTCGCCGTGAGCCAGATTTTTTCCATAAAAAGCAAAACCTCATTATAAATGATTGAATTTCTAGAACTTTCCAAAGGGAAACCCACTCTTTTCGTGAATTTTTTTCAGTGTAAACTTGGACGGTTGAAGTTTAGCCGAGTATCTGAGAACGGCTTCATTATGGTTCCAACCAGGGTGAGGCTAAAAGCCAGGCACTCCGTGCATGACGTCACTACGCGTGTGACTCCGTTCAACTTAACTGCCCATGTACGAATACCCAATTGTAACTCATCGTGCACGCGTGACCTAGTCGTGAGCGTGTTGTTCCTTCCTCCATGTTTAATTACAGTGTGGTCGGTCCACCATATCTGTGTTAAGTAAATGGGTTTTCATGCAGTGACGTTTTGCGTAGTGACGTCATGCACGGAGTGCCTGGCTCACCCTCTTCCAATAGTCATTTCCTCTTCCAATCATTGAATGGAGATCAATGGTCCAATGTTCGGGATTAAGTGCGCCCTCTAAAGTTTGCCATTTCACGGGTTCTCCTTGTACCTTTCTGAATCCAAATGCGCTGCGGGCGCGCACCAGCTATCCAGCAGACGATTTGAAGTTTAGAACGCGCGAAAGTTCAAAAGTTGAGTTGAAAATATTCGTCGTCGCATAAGCCTGGTACATGACATATAGCCTACATGACATAGACCCCAGTGCAGCAGTCACGCACAGTCGTAGGCCTAGGCCTAAATGTTCAAGTGAGTGAAACAGTCCTACCAAGTAGCCTACCATTATTGTTTACCTGTGTCAGCGGGAAGACATTATTGTCGAAGGAAGGTTTCCAGCTAATCCGTACGGTGGAGTCCTGAACTTGGACTAGGCCTAGATTGGATGTCTGACTCAAGGTTAGGCCTAGCTAAGGCTAAGCCTGTGTGAGTGTGACCGCAGTTAGCGATTAGAAGTTCTTGTAGTTGTAGAAACCCCTGGTTATTAATCAACAGAACTTCAGATAGTAGGCCTAAGGTTTCCCATTCTCAATTTATTATTTGAAATTAGGCCTAGGCCTACTAATCCTAGGCTTCCATACTAATACTAGTAGTATGGGATTCATTTTGTGACTAGCCTAACGTTTATCACGTACCTGGACCTGGTTAGCAGGTTAGGGCAGTCTAAGCTTAGAAGCTGATAAGAGGTAGGATCCTAGCCTAGGACCTTTCTATGGTAGGTCTGTCACATTGCGTGCTTAGGGCAGCCTTAACCTTGGTTGAAGTGAACATGTTTTGGCTCATGCATTTATTTAGGGCCTTCTTCTGGGCCCTATCAACTTAAACTTCAGAGTTCACTTAGGCTACTACAAGCCTACTTTTAAAAGTGCCTAGGCCTATTATTATGCTGGGCTTAAGTTACTCAAAGCCCTAACCTAGAGGCCTGCATAGATTGCACTACACTCACACTCCAGAGGCTTCTCATGGGCCCAAGGCAAGGAGCTCACCACAAGCACTGCATTGGCCTCAGTATGCATGCCCATCAATGAATTACAGCTGGTGGGCCTTCTTCTGACACTTGCACTGGACCAGCAGTGCGTGTAGGTCCCAGTACTGAACTTTTTTTACAATGTAAAAAAATCTTTAAAAATGATGCACTAAATCTACCAGATCTGCATATTAATTGCCATTTACGAGTTTGGCAAAATAGGTTTAACTTATTATCCATATGTACAGAATACATTCACAGGCAAATGTACATTTCTTTTTATTAAAGGTCATGGACGAGATGTGAAATTTTTCAGCAAGGCTATGGGCAAGGGCTCCCTGCAAAAAGACTTTGAATTTCCATCTGTCATCTTGAGCTGTTTTCAGTGCAGTAGTGTTGCTACCCCAGTTCTGACTGACAAGCTTCAAGTCCGAGGTGAAGGCATGAGAGTGGACGTCATGAAGAATGTGCCAGGTGTGACTGTTGTCCAACCCATCAAGCGTAGGATAGGAGCTGAGACAGCTGCACCCAGGGGACCCTGTCGGGACATCACTAATGTCACAGCATCATTGTGCAGCCCACCAAAGCGGGTCAAGAATGCACCCATGACAGTGACAAGCAAGGAAATGGCAGCATTTTTAAAAATCTTTGGTAAGGGATCAACTCAACATTAATGTCACAACATCACTGATTGATAAAAAACTCTGGTCGGGGCAGATAGCTGCCACACCAACACAAATTGGTTCTGGATACAGTTTTGTATACTGACATTCGAGCTGATGGTTTTGAATTTGGAAAAACTGTTATTCAACGGAATAATGGGGAATACTAGTAAATTCGTCTTGTGTCATTCACCCCACCCCCCAAAAAAAAACCAACACAACAAAAACAAAACTTACACACAAAGAAACATTTTGGCCATATAGGCTTGTTATCTGCAGTAAAAACAATAATTCTAGGAGTTATTCCAAAATAATTATAGATTTTCAAATATACACCCTACAGGGACACTAAAGGGACAGTTTTCCTGCCATGTTTTATGGAGGATCTTTAAGAGGATTTTATTGCATTTTCTGCAGTTTTTGTATGAGAAAATTATAAAGGACTGTTAGCAAGAACTGTGATTTTCTTCATCTTTTGGGATCTCACAATGTTTTATTGTAGTTTTTTGTTTCTATTGAAAACATTTAAAGGATGTTACAATATATCTTTACCTTTTATTTAAACTGTGCTTATGTTCTGCCAAGATAAATTGCCAACAACGCAAAACATAAAGTTAAAATAATTCAGAATAGAACCCTTGCTATTTTATGGAGTATTTTTATATTTACAGATGACAGTCTGATTCGAGATTTCTTGTGGATGGACAGCTGTGCTAAAGTAGCTGACAAGGTAATACCTTTGGAAAATTGTTTTACATTTCTTAGCACCATCAGTGTTTTACATTTAAATTAATTAATTCAGTTTCAAAGTCATACATGCTACTGTGTATTTCAAAACTTCTATTGTTTTTCAGAATGATTTTATTTGAGTTTGTAGATTTGAATTGGAATGAGCGTTACTATTAGTCAGTATGGACAGGGCTTTCCCTCAAGAGTGAAAAATCCTAATGGTTCTCAATTCACACCATTCCATGCACTCCTCATTTTAATCAAGAGCTCTTGTGAATTCTTGTTGCCAGTATCTCATTGCAATGGCCTTTGCATACTTCAAGAGAGCCAACTATACAACCAACCAGTACACAAGAATGAACTTCTTTGTTGCTCTGTAAGTTTTATAATAATTAAGTGGTTATTAAACTTACTCACGTGACAAGTTTCTGAACAAGTCCTCAATTAGGAAGATTTTTAATAAAATATAGTTAATTGTCACCAGAGTGCACGTATTTCCACTGTACGTTTACATTTTTAGAATAAGGTATTTCATAAAGGTATGGTGATTTTTGGTGAACTATCAAATATGCAGGATTGTAAATAATATTCCTCTGTCCAAAATCACTCCGAGATGGACAGTATTCCGTTAAGACAGAGTTTTGATCATTTTCTTCGTGTATAACATAAACTATCTTTCATTGTTTGAAGGTATCTTGCAAATGACATGGAAGAGGATGAAGAGGAATGCAAATATGAAATCTTCCCCTGGGCGCTAGGCCTGACCTGGAGAGACAAGTACCCAAGCTTCCTGAGGAAGCGAGACAAACTGTTAAAGACCATCGAGTACAGAGCAGCAGTGAGCCGCAAATGCTGTGAAGAGGTCTGTACATCCATTGAACTTTTGTATATTCCCAAGGCAAAATGAATTAATCATCGGCAAAATAAAACTGACCTATGCTGGTGATCACAGCAGTGGAGAATGTGCATTGTGAAAGTCATGTAATTCTAATGAAATAAAATACTATCACAGTTGAGGGAGTCTTTCCCCAGGTTTGTTCGAAATGCCCATGGAATTTGAGAAAACAAGCTCAGTTTTTGGAAATTAGTTGTTCGCTCTCCACCAAATGGGTACCTGTGAGGGCAGACACAGTTATGTTTAGCTCGTTTGTTTGTTCCGAAATGGAAGCATCAGTCTAGTATACTCCCCAGGGAGCTGAGAGGGAATGTTCAGATGATGTGATCTCAGTGTGCAGGGATAATGATAATAAGCACATAATAGTAAGCGAGATATTCTGTAATATTTACAAATAGGTCATTTGGGAGACATTTTGTGGTAAATTTTTCAGCATTAGGGAGGCATTGGCTTTTAGGGAGACATTTCAGTGTCTCCCTATTTTCAAACTACCACAAGGAGGCCGAATTTTACTGTCCATATTTTGAGAGATGATAGATTAGGGTCTAAAATGAAAACATACAAAGTTTCGTTCAGATCAGATTAGGGAATATTGTATTATGGGACAGTAAAGTTGAAAAAATTTTGTGCACGCTCCTATGGGAATGTCTCCCTAATGACCCATTAGCGGTAATTATATTACATGCTTTATAAGAACTGATGACGATTATTATGAAATCAAGGTGAGCCTAAAAACTGTATTTAAATGTTTGCATTTGCTTAACTTAAACTACTCTGGATGTGCATAAAGAACAAACATTCGAGTTGAGAAAATTTGGAATTGAAGTCAAAGTTTGTGTTTGAGTAAACTGTTGTGATCTGTAATTTTCAGCTGATGGCCATATCCCCAGAGCACTCCATCTGGATGAGGGAGCGTCAACTCCACCATTCTGGTGCCATCAGGCATTATGAGAACTACGTCGGTAGCGATGACAGCAATGAGAACTACCCCCGTGGACCTGGGATGTCCCCCGTCCACTGTGAGCTGTGTGCCGAGAGCGGCAGCTTCGCCTACTGTTCCCCTGGCTCACAGTTCACCACCAGCCCAAGCTGCCACCTGTACCTGGCGTCTTGCACTGACACCTCCACTGATAGCCTGGGGGAGGAAACCCCACCCAAACCCTACTCACCCAGCATGTTTGACATGCACGGTAGGTTTCAGCTGCTTACCACATTCGACAGTATTTTTTTCTTTTAAACTGCGCCTTTAATCAAACAAACCATTACCCATGAATTCACCAGAAAATTGACAAAAACAAAAGCTGCTTATGCATATACAAATACAAGGTACTATGCACATGTAGCCTTCTGGCATCCATTTTCCAGTGCATTTTATTCATTAACAAAATACTAACATAAATGTGCAATAATTTCTGATGACTATTCAAGGTAACATGAATTTTCATGTGGAGTGTTGGAATCATAATTTTCATGTCATTTAATTTAAATATTATAGATTGCTTTATTTTCATAAAATCTTCAAATCCAAGAGCTAGAGTTCTCAACACTTGACAGCTCAAGGAATGTTATAAACTTTTAATGGTTCATGGTGTCCATTTGTCATAAATCGTTTAAAAAGTCTTTGGAAAATGTTTCAAAGTGGTTTTACTATTTACTCAATGCAATGTCACTCAGATCGACTGGTTTACCTTTTCCATGAAATTTTGCCCGTTTTTCTAGGATTAAAGAGTACTCTTCAGACCGAGCCCAATGAAGAGGATTCCTACTTTTGGGCAAGCTGCCACGAGTAAAAGGGATCCAAAACAAAGCCTCACCACAATACGCTTGTCATGCCAATAATGATTATGCAGTAATGTAGATTGCTTTCGCACGTTTTGGCAGTTTCTGGAGTTAACCAGTCTTGAGAGAAAGAGAAAAGTTTCCTTTTTAAATTGACAGGGCATCTTGTTTTAAAAAATGCTCCGGAAAGGTAACTTTCCAAATTGTATTGAAAACTTTATCTATAGTACAAATTATTTCCGGCAACATAGTCAAGTACACAAGTTAGAAAAAATGAATTTCCAGTTTTACAATAAAACGAAAGCCCAAAACTGGAGTAGTAACTCTTCAAATACAAAATGTATATTTACTATTTACTTCAAGGTTAACTGTATTCAGCTATGTACATTCGTATTTATTAATTCTATTTAAAGTTTAATATTTAAAATGCTAAGATGCTTTACAGTTGAAGATAACTTATTGTTGCTCTGTCCTTGGATTTAAATTTGCATTGTCGTTTTGAAGAAAAAGGTTGATATTTAAAATTTTTGTACAATATTTATATTCTGTTAATATTGGTTTTGAAATTAGGTGCGTTTGATTCTGGTTTTTTAAGTTATAATCTTTTCAACTTTTAATTTCAGGAGAAAAATCGATTTTTTTTCTGATTGTCTTGAGAGCCAAAAACATGTTTTTACTAAATAATATCTTCAGAGAAGTCATTGTGTAATGTGAATTAAAAGGTCTATTGTTAATTCTTTTAAGGGGTTTTGGAATTCAGACCAGCAATAAAATCCTAAAGTAACGAAAGACATTTGTTTGATATGTCATCTTTAGGCGCAAGATATTATGTATACAAGTGTTCCTTTTATATTAAATTATCTCTAAATATGACATTTCCATGTCTTTAGCCTTTCGATATTTTGCCAAAAATGGTTTGACACGTAGTTCACCTGAATCAAAGAGTTTAACCAGTCTGACCAGGATCATTTACTGACTGTAAAGTGCATTACATTTTTCTTGCCTTTTTATTTTGAGTAAAATTGACACCAGTGGTGCAAATTTGTGCCGGAAATGGGGGGTGGGGTTGACTTGGCTGGCCATGGAAATTTGAAAAACGGGGACAGGGGTTGGTGACACCATACGAGACTATATGGGGACGATGTTCATATTACAGATGTACATTAGCCGTGTGCCCGGCAAAAGGTCGTCAGCGCACTTTCGCCCTTTTGCCCGGAAGCATGATCACAGTACGAAAAATGTTCCCGGTAAAAGGGCGTAAGAAGCACACTCTATTTAGTAAAAACGGGTAAAATTTACTACAAAATCAACACAGGCTGTGCCAAAGGCAACCTTTGAACAACTTATCAGACGACTTGGGAAATGTTTTTGAAACTATTTGCAAAGAAATGTTCATATTTCATTAAAATAAAACAGTTGCATTCGCATGTCCTTTTGCCTGAGGAAACTTTTTTGCAGCGATTATGCTTCCCGGCAAAGGTCGTAAGCGCTTACGACCTTCTTCCGGGAACTTCTGTAATGTGTTACACTCATGCAGAATTTTACATCATAAATTCTGGTTGTTGGGAAGTCCAAAAATTTAGTTTTAAAATCTCCGGCAATTCTTTCTCACCACGAAAAAGTGGAGGATTCAATAGCCCGTCCCTCCCCCCCCCAGCGTAGGAAGGAGGATATGGAGTATACTCCCAGCCCTCGCAATTTACGCTCATGGTTGGCGCTGATGAAGTCTTTAACCTCCACTTAGAACACCGTGGTTTAGGCACAGCGAAACGCCCGCAATTTTGTGCACTAGAAGTCAGTGGGCAATTCCTGTTACGTAAGTTTAGATATTTTTAAGAATGCAGTGCTTAAATGTATCGCATTAAAAGGTCCCCAGGGATACGCCACTGAAACTAACACGTAATCGAGGTGAAAGATATGTGCGTTGGCACAGTGATTCGAGTTTGCTGTAACAAGGCTACCCACAATGGCTGCCTGCTGACTTCAAAGTAATTACTCTCAGAACAAGTAAATACGGAACTTAAGAAGTGATTTAAACAAATCATAACATTCCATGGCTTAACAATTAACAGTAACCTGTGATGGCCTCAAAATAAAAAGCCACGAGATAACCCCGACCACAAATGGCCAATCCAGTAGTTTACGCGTGAAGCAATTTTTGTTGTGACCCGGGTTATGACTTCCCTATTATACACGGAATAAATACGAACCCCTCCTCTAAAAATCCTACAGCACGAGGTGGAGATCTGGGACCTTTTTTCAGTGAGGTCACATCGAAAAACGAAAGTATTTAGAGCTGGCGTTCTCACCCAAAGCTATTTTCTCTTTTGTCAAACTACAGTGGGAGAGATGTGGCCTGCTCCGAGGCCCAACGCAAATTAAAGCCGAGGTTAAGCATGCTGGGAAGACATGCATCAAGAGATTGATTGTTAGTATTGTGTTCATTTCATCTGGGATCTATGATGCGCCTAATTCCTTTATTAACCAAGACTTCCCCTATGATGCAAGTCATGGGGCGGAGAGAACCCCGCCTTTGTATTGGCCATTGTTTGATCGGAATCTCAGGAATTCTTTACTGACTTCTAGGGAGGGATAGGATTGGACATGGGGGGGGGGTACCCATCGGCCCCACATCGTGCACGGTATCGGACTTCCCTCAGCGCTGCGCTAATGCCCCAGAAGAGCTGTATTTCGCCGTGTCAACTTGTACGTCGCGTCGCCCAGCGCCAGGGCGCTTGGGAGCGAAGGTGGTGTTTGGCTACATTGTGAACAACAGTATCATTGATCACGTGTCTTTGGGTGAAATGTTCAAATCGCTGGTTGTCTTGGTCACTTTTTGATGAGCGGATAAAGTGTAGTGAGAAGGTTTTCAGCAATGAGGAAGAAAAAGAAAAAAAAAATCGAATTGATAACTGCCGCTTGTATATAGAGCGAGCTCGCGCGCCTTGCAGAAATTTACCCACAATGCTCTACGCGTCGTTAGCTGTGACCCCGCGTGACGTATTTCCTTCCCTAAAATCTGTGCAAGACAGCCTTGCCCAGCACCCAGTTAGGGCGACAAGCGATATAAGGGTGCACCACTAAAAATAAATTCCCGTAGACAGCAGTGATAATTCCCCATACTTCACAAATATTTTAAAAACACTACTCTCACAGGTGTTCAGTCTGCACAGAAAAATGATGTTCCACATGTCCTCTTTCATTTTCCTTTCAATTTTCTGGGGGTTGGCCAATGAATTTTTGAGAAATTTTCACCAGAAGCAGACCACCCCTAAAATGCAGAAAATGTCCCTGTCCAGAAAAGTAGCCATTTTGAAAAACCTATGGTGTTATTATGGTCAAATAGTGCCACTTTTAAACCCGATTGCATCCAAATTGCTCGGAATTGGAAGCCCTGAGTCCGGCCCAGAGGTCCAGTCTCATATTTCTTCAATTCCTCAGTTCCATGGCTCTCAGGACCCTCTAATATAGAATATTTTGAGTGTAGAACTTTAATTAATGAGCTCGGCGGACATATTTCTGGCCTAAATACGAGGGTGCACCCATAAGGAGGGGGGGCGGACTTGTCCCGATTGACGCCCATGCCATAGGCCAAACTTGTGAACAAAAGCGGGTCCGCGTTTTGATCTCGTTCCACCTAGACTAGATCATGGAGGTAGATAATGGAGCAATTAAAATAGCCCTATCTCGGTTTGTGACATGACACGCAGTGAAATGGCAACCACATTATGGTCCAATGGTCAATCGGTCACAGGTCACCACTAATCCAGGCGTACAGGGTACATGATAGAAGGAGCACAGAGACAGCTAGCTCTGAAGGTTCTGTTAATAGGAATTTTAATCTTCGCACGACCGTAAGGACATCCTCAGGGTATCGATTGCCGAGTCCAGTGGAAAGCAGCAAACAAGATGCACACTGTGTATATAGTGTTCTGCAAACAAGTACATGCGTAGGTCTACACCTAATTCCGCGAATTTCCAGTGCAAGTCAGGTTTGACAGTTGGCTAAGCTTGAAGGTGTGACTGTAAGCATCAGTCTGAAAGGTCAGTAGGCCTAGGGGCTGGGCGTATAGTAAACGTTATCTTACCCTGTGGTTTGACATACAATGTTATACCTTAGAGGTGGGAACGATCGGTTGTCCCGTTATGTTTGCGTGTGTGCAACCACGCGTGCATAAAAAAATGTACTAGAAGTGTTGGTGCATGATGATGGTAACCATTTCGGGATCTTGACAGTCGAGTCTAGCGCACCATGGAGGTTGGTACCCCCTCGTCTCCCCGTTCAAAATTTGTATATTAGTTGACACATGGGACTGAGCTCGATTCTGTTGAAACTGTGACACTAGGGGTACAGTATATGGTGCCCCCTGATGATAACGTTTGAAGTACCCCCACAGCTTTACACCTGTACCCTTGAGCCACTGCAGCGAAGAACAGTCATTGTTCAAATTTCAGTAAAGAATTTTACGACGCCACCAAATATTCCACGCAGTTGCCCGTTGGCCATCTAAAGCAATTGAAAGTCCTAAAAAGTCAAAATAGTAGCGAATTATGAAGGTATTTTGAGACCAGAACGAATTCCATAATTATACGGATGCCACTTTTACCCCGTGTGCACAAACCCTGTAAGTACATGTAGACAGAACAGAAGCGAATGATCAAACTTGAAATTGTCAGTGTGTATAGGCTCTGAGCCTGGGCGGCGTTGTCCATAAAAAATGATGCCCCCCACGAAGGGGGTTGGCTGACACTACGCCATGTGTGCGGGGTCCAAGCCAGTGCCTGCGTAACGACAGAACGAAAATGTGATTATTAAATTAAAGAATAAATTACTACAACATTATAACGTGCTTTCCTATGGTTAATACATGAAGCGCCCTCCGGATCATGACATCACAGTGAAGGTAATCTGAAAAGTCAGAAATATGGAAAGCATGGGCGCGTATAGGGGATAGAACCACGACGCATTTTTGCTATGCGTACGGGGAGAGGTATGTCGGCATTTCTCCCGCATGCGGGGTTGTGGCTGGCTTCCATCGTTACGAGTGCTGTCAAGTGCTTTTCAGTGAGTACATTTAGTAGAGTGTTTCGTAAACATGCCTTGAGTTTAATACGCGCAATACAGCGATTAGGCCTATACTCAAAGTTTGTGAGTTTCATAAGAAAAGATTAAAACAGAAAATACGTATTTGTACATCTTTCAACAAACAACTCTGTCTGATTTTGATGCTACAACTTAAGTCGGTTTCGTAGCTAAGAAAATGTGTTAATGTGTTAACAGAGATCTCGTTTTTAGTTCGTATAGCGAGCAAAGCAAACTGAGTTTCCTTTTTCATGTTTTACAGTTGACGCCACATGAAGTTGCCCTGTTCCGTGATCCATCGAGATGGCGAGATATCTTTATTCCTTGTCTGCTGGTATTTTTCGAAGGGTGCGCGAATTACCTTTTAATCCTGAGAGTACAACCCGTTGTCTGTCATTTACTGCAGGTATGTGGGCCAAAGGCAAAAACGTATTCTATGTTTGTTAGTTATCGTCGCTATTATTCCGAGGTCTACTTTGAGAACAAGGTTGTGTAACTTTTGAATTAAGAAAAAAACCTTTGCCGAACCTTTGACTTGGTGATGTTTTTTGGGGTTGTTCGTTCTCTTCAGTTGGTACACCCCACACTCCTTATATCGAGAAATTTACAGCAATGCACTGTTTCCCCCATTTCATAAAAATTCCTTAAATTAATTTATTCAGTGCAATGCAGTGATCTGGGAGTGCACATGCCTGGCTTTATTTGTGAGTATTTATAAGTAGGCTATGTTTATAGATCTGGACCATTTACACTTTGATGCCTTGTTTTCAGTTCCGATTGTTTATTCGCATAAAATGCACTATAAAATAAGCAAAAATCATATGCAAATAAAAATTAAACGGAAACATAAATACACCAAAAAATACTCATTTATATGTGCATTTTGTTACATGACATTCCGTCAAATTATTTATAATTTATTTAAAAGCGACATTTCTTTTTTTACTTTTATTTTTACAAATATATACTTCATAGGTGAGTAGGAAAGTAATACTTATTTATCAAATATTCGCACCGAAACCCTCAGAAAAACAACAAAATAAAAGCAACGATGTCGATACAGTAAGTAAAGCTTTTGATATTTTTTTTAACTTTCCAAACATCATGGTGAATGAGCCCGAAGCCGAATTCACCTTTGAAATTGCGCCCCCCCCACACCAAAAGCTGGACACACCGCTGCCGGGTTAGTGACCCAGGGCACTGTAGTTTTATATGAAGGGATTAGTCCTTGCATTTGGTGGTGTTCTGACTTTCTAAAATTACAGTTTGTTATTCGAACGGGTTTGACGGAAATCAATATGAATTTTTCCGATTGAAAAAAAAAAATAGGAAAACAATCACTGCACTCAATTCTTTTACAGTCTATTTAATTTCGTTATTTGGTCGTCATTTGTTTTTCTTCAGATAAGTCGAAGGAACCCAGAGCCACGGAGAATATTCTCCCTCACATCGTAGAATACGACGGACCATTGATGACAACCGCAGTGCCAGGACCAAAGTCTCGAGTAAGCATGATTTCAGAAGGCTCTATGCGGCAAATGTTGACCGGCTCCATGCTTTGATCCCAATGAAAGAGGGCAGTGAAACTCAGCAATAATGTACGGGGCATTTCAGCTGGGTATAGCACGGTTTGGCACTGATCTCGCTCCTATATGGACTCATTCATTAAACACTATCGGTTTATACAAAAAAGAGAACGATAATTAATTCAACAGTGACCTTTTGCACTTTGAAGCGAGGATCATTTGAACTGTAAACCGATATGCATTTTTATGTTCTGTCCTTTTTCCGTCCATCGGTATCTTTTTCCGGAAAATACCTTCGAAGAGCTACAAACTCCTTACACAATTATCAAGATGTATTTTTTTTTTTTTTTTTTATATATAATCCTTACACAATCTAACTTATTAATCTCATTGCTTTTGTAGGAGTTGCTGAAGTCGCTTGATGATGTCACAAAGGTGAGTGATCAATTAAAACTCGGTTATTAAGCCATTAAAACGCCCTCTGACCCCGGCAAGGTGTCGAAGATCCTTCAACAGGCTTCATAAGTCATGTCCGCTATCCTACGTAACCTATTATACTGGGCATTACATGCAAAAACTTTTCCTGCACTTCATACCGTGCTTGTATAAAACACAGATCTTTCCAGCTTTCAGTAACTGTACTCCCAACAAATTCCGACAAGTAATAATCGCATGAATTACGGCATGACTTGTATGCAATAATGGAAAGTATAAGAGTTTGTAGGGAATGTGCGAATCTTATATAAAGCTTTAAAGCATGATAGTCTGTTCGGAACGAGTAAAGAATCAAAATTATATAATAGAAATGCTGCTCACCGTTGAAATACGACGCGATTACTTGATCGTCATTACTGGATTTGTTAGTTTTGGAATGCGTTGTTGTTTTGCGAATAACCCAAATATAGATGAAAATGGCAATAAACATCAATATTTTCACTCCCAAAGTTAGATACGGCGATGAAAACACAGAAATCAATAAGCAACTTCTCTCTAACGCTTCCGTATCAACAAGAAACTTTTACGCATTGAATTAGCCTGTACCCACCATGACTTCTCGACCATTTATCTCAGAACGTGGAAACTGTCCAGTATTTCGTGGACTTTGAGCAGAGCCTGGGTAACTACATCGTCGACGCGGACGGTAATCGCCTCTTGGACGCATTCATGCACATCTCCTCCATACCAATCGGTAACTCTAATCGTTAAGACACATTTCAGCTATAGCATCAACTCGGGTTCAAAGACAAGATCGTTTACGAGAAATTTCGGTAGTGACGAGTGGTTTGCAATAGGTTTTCAGACCTGAGATTTATTTCTATCCCTTGTAAAAGATTAGAAGACTTAACCTATGGAAAACTTAATGATGAACTTCTGTCACCCATGGAGTGATCAAAACCGTCGATCAAGCATGATCGAAACTGCTTTCAACGCAAATACATTCCCCTTCACTCAAAGCGAAACTATTGGATCACACGGAGCACACAAACTTGCCTACGACGGTTACACCGATCCATTTATGTTTTTTTGCACGAGTCTGAAACTTGTATTTTGTGGGTTCAATGCGCAGGCTGCGTCCTTAAACGTGATGCTTCCCGATGGCAAGGAGAACGTTCAAAGGAAATACACGCTGATGTCTTCAGCTCAAGTACAAGCCACGAAAAGGAGGCATAGGCACGGTGTCTTTTAATCAATGCTACGAGGAAAATTACTCTCTACTCCCCCTGCACTCAAACCGACCAAACTCTTAGCTGGAGATTATCATGAAAATGTTACACAGAACGTCTTTAAAGGATTGATCGTGAGTTTTCATTTTGTTTCACTGTTTGATATGAATATACAGGTTACAACCATCCTGCTGTGCTAGATGTAGTCAAAAACCCAGCTAACCTGGTGAGTTCATATCTGATACAAGGTAGCCGAGGTATGATTTGGCGGTCGGCATTTGTCCGTTAATGCGAACGATGATGATCTTTCCAAGGTCGGCATGACTTAGGTCATAACCAAAATCAAAATTATACGGACCACGTATATAATTTCAGCTGGTTGAAAATTGAGGCATGCATTAAGGGCCGCACTTTCCAATACCAAATTAACACTGTCGCATTATTTTTGTAATTGACAATTGTGGGAGCCGCTCCATCCTCCGAAATTGATCCTGCAATTGCCAGTTCTATGCACGGTATCTATACGTTTATCACGTACATAATGCCAATTGGCATTAATCAAACTTGTTTTAGCCTTTATATAAAAAAAAAAACACCTTCAACTGCAACAGAAGAAAAATGATAAAGAATAGCGGCCCTTTCTTTTGTAGTGCCTACTCTTAAGTTCAGGGCCAACAAACCCATTAAGGTCGCGGAACTACATTGTCAGAAAAGACGCATTCTGTTTGTCTCCGCGACTGTATATCGAGTCTGTTTTCCCCAATTCAATTTGACGCGTGGGCAGCTGGCATAAAGCAGTTGCATCTCGGCGAGCCATTAGGTAACTCCGGACGCGGCCCACGTCAGTCGTAAACGGCCCTACTTTTACCGATGCCAGGTTTGCATTTTGTGCTCTTTCCCGTTTTTAATCATTCAGTAATGTAGGCCTAACCATTCCATTTTTCTCCAGAGCGTTTTCGCCAATCGGCCTGCATTAGGGTTCAAGCCGTCAAAGGAATATCCAGCTCAACTTACAAACGCGCTTGTTTCAGTAAGTATATCAGTGCTGCATTCCCAAAGCCTATAGCGAAGTGGGAGTAAAGAAAAAAACTGACCCGTCGGAGTTTTACAATTTTGTACATCAATCATCAGTCCGTAAAAGAAAATGTATGTGGCAAGAGACTGCGGTCTCGCGATTTCAGCTTTCATCCTGACAAAGCATTATTGAATTGAAGTTCCTTCCCGAACAATGCCCTAGACTGAGATTTTCCTATGGTGTACACGTTAACAACTCTCTGGCACTGTGCTTCAAAATGTGTAAGGTGTTGCTGGGCTAACTATACATCATCTTAGGAGAACTCAACTAATATGACAAATCAGTGAAGAAAATTGAAGAGGTAACTGCCCGTCCCATAAAATAGTGTTCAGTGCTCTGTTCATATAGAGTTATCCAGCCACTCACAATGCCGTACCTTTAAATTCTATTATCAAGTTGCAGCTGCATCTTTAATCAAATTAAATTTTTTATTTGACACCGAGCAGTCTGACCTGGATTTTAATCGACATCTAAGGACAGTCTTCTTATTAGTCACGATCTCTGTTTCCCCTCGCAACGAATTCTGAACAGGTTGCGCCAAGAGGCTTGAAGAATGTGCAAACTATGATGTGTGGCGCCTGCTCTGTGGAACATGCCCTCAAACAGACCTACATGTGGTACAGGGTTAGTATATCGCCGGCAGACTTTCATCCACTACTAAATCGTTCAATGGTACACAATTACAGTGCCCATGGAGTATTCCAATATAGTAAAAAGAAATCTGTAACCGATTGACATCTTGATGACATGTATTTTATGTTTGTAGCGTTTTTGTATGTAGTACTTGAGTGATTCTCAAACCTGACTACACAACTCTTCATTTGCTGTCGTTTGCATTGAAACCTTTGAATAAGCTTGTTCAGGTGCATACACACCCTGTCAACATCAGACAGCGAATTAGACTAATCAGAATATACTGGGATGTTTAACCGAACATGCAAGGCCGTACCCCAGTTCTACGTATTCCAGTTTGTATATGAAACTCGATATATGTCACTACTCTAATGTAACTCTCTCCGGCTGCTCCTCTGGTTAACAAGCAGCGACTGCTGCAAAGTCCCCTGCTCAAGAACAGCAGTGTCACGACCCCAGTCAAGCTCCATCTGAATAACATTCAGAGGATAGGTTCACAATGTGAAAGAATAAAAAAATACTGCATGGTGCACTGTTACAGGTTATCAAAGACCACTCCAGCACTCACTGCAACTTAGAACTTTGTAGTGTTTGTATTGTACAAACGTTTCACAATTGTTTTCACAAACAAATCAGCAATGTGTGGCAGATAATAAAAGGTAGTCTGGCTCTTTGACACACCCTTACAAAATGAACCCTTGTTCATTTGACTTTCAGGCCCTCCAGACAGTTTTTCTGACCTACACAGATAATTAGGAATCAAAAAAAGTAACTACTGAATACAGTTGAATGTCCTTCGCGTACATGTTTGATGTTTGAAATACCACTGGCCTGTACAAAATCTTTGTGGAACTGGATCTGTGTTGATTTTTTAGGCAAAGGAGAGAGGTGGGCCCCCAACACAAGAGGACCTCGAGACATGTCTCTTGAACAAGGTTAGTTCAAACACAGGTAGGGTGAATGAAATCACATGAAGGAGTATACCAGTCTAGAACATGGTACCTTAACTGAGGCATATAATAGCATTGTCACCAATACCGCATTTATCTTGTGTTCAATATTTATAGATTTGTTTTCTGAAAACAGCTTGGCTCATCCTCGTGCAAGTCTAGTCTTGTTAGACCCCAATGACAAGACCACCGGACTTGTGTTCTAATTATGTTTTTCACACATTTAGCTTTAAAAACTAACTACATGTACCACCATAAAGCTGGAGATTCTTGTTATCTTGAATAGGAAAGCTGGTGCTTGTCATTTGAGAAGAAAACAAAATTAAAAATGACAGAGCTAGCTGTCTTATACACTATGATTTCTCAACTTGAAGCTTTCCGATGGACGCATACCCCATCTGTCCACAATAAGTTAAATGTAAAGAGGTCAGAGTGTAAAGTGTAATTTGTATAAAAATGTTAATTCATCTGTAAGAGTTTCTGGGTAGGGTAAAGTTTTCTTTGCATCATGGTCTGACTACCTGTGTACATTTTCTTTATACTCAATGGTCATTTTTATACAGGGAATTTATTGTATGTGAACAGATTTCCTTACCTCAAAAGTTCCAATCTTTAAGCGTACTGTTTATATGACTTACAGCAACCAGGAAATCCTAAATACAGTGTGCTGTCTTTTGATGGGTCTTTCCATGGAAGAACAGTAGGTGAGTAAGAAAACATGAAGTGGTTTCCATACATTTGGCTAAAATATACACTCTCCAATTGGGGAACCAGTGAGATATGAGGAAAGTTTGCCAATGATTATTCGAATTGCTGACATAGGATTTTACACTTTAAATCGATCGCAGCCCAGTATTCTGTCTGAAAAATAAGATTCCTACAAGTGGTTATTTGATACAAGCCTTTGAACTTCGCAATATTATGGGTAAACCCCATTCTTGTGTACAATAGTTCTGACCCAGTAAAAAGTCCAGAACGAAAATGTACGGAATCCTTCAAGTGTGATTTTTCTTAGGGGATTTGGTATTGTGATGATTTTAAAAAATCCAGGCATTGTTTTCTGGTTTCTCAATGTAATTTACAATGAAAAAAATCACTTTCCGGGGTACATGCAGCCCTTGGTTTGAACACTTAATTGCACTACACAATTTAGAAAGCAAAATTTGAAATGGAAAACAAATATCTAATGATGCTGACAAATGAAGGTTGAGATTTTCCTCCCATATTTGCCCCCTTTTATCATTTTAGTCTTTATTATTCTTGTATTTTGTCAATTTTTCCTTAATCAACCTTCACAATTTATCAAATGATCTTGCAATATGGAAATTAATGTTTGGACATAAAAAAAGAATGAGAAATTACTACGTACCTGATCAGACCCTAATGTAAAGAACTGGCAGCATGAACTGGCTGCATAATTATAGGGCAATATTATGCCTTTAATCTACCTTGAGCAGAAGTACCCCCTCTTCAGTTGAAAAGTGCCTTGTTGGTGGGAAGTGTTCATTTTGTTGATAGTGATGTGACCGCAACCCTTGCATTTCACAATCATGAAGCAGCAATAGAGAGCTTTTTGCCAAAGAGCACTTTCATTAAATGCTTAAGAAAATTGCGCCCTCTCTTGGTTCTGCTCAGGGCCCCGCAAATACCTCTACTAGTTATGCTTACTTTTTCATTTTGCAAATGAAAAACATTTACATAGGGTATTTGGTACTGGTGTGTTTTGCACGAAAAGACAAAACCATCCAAAAATGTTCCAGACTCAAGTTGACTGACTTCAAGAACTTTCCAAATGCCTCCCCCAACAGCCTGCCTCTCCCTGTCACACTCCAAGATCGCCCACAGGATTGACATTCCCACCTTGGATTGGCCCATTGCCCCATTTCCCCGACTGCAGTACCCACTGGACCAGTTTGAACAGGAGAACCGGGCCGAGGAGGACAGGTGTCTAGCCGAGGTGAGAGAACGTAAAATGAAACCGGCAATTGTCGGACATGGGGTACACTCTTAAAGTTAAGCCAGTATAATGTCACATGAAATACACAAAATGTGAAACACTTTAAGTCAATTTCAGTTTTATAAATATGTGGCCGCTGCTCACAAAACTGCGGAAAAGTATGACACTGAATTTGCAACTTGATATACAGGAGTAAATTCAGGGTAGCCCTTTAACTATGCCAAATATCCATTTCCCCCTAAAATGGTCAGACTTTTAAAAAAAAATTACAAAAGATTTATTTGAACTACACCAAGTTTTCCGGGTTTGTCTGAAATTTCAAAACATTTTCCAAACTGCCTGATTTCCACAAGTTCTCCTTTTTTCAAAAATTCACATAAACATCGTATTCTTCAAGAACCCACCCTATAAAAGCTACTTTTAACAGAAAACATGGTCTTCAGTATAACCACTTCACTTTTTTCCGAGCCCCCCTAAATTTGGAGCCTAATACTCTGACTGTTCCCATGTGATTACTTTTGGATCACTTCCTGCTTCGCAGGTGTACTCCCAGATTGAGAGGCAGAAAAAGAAAGGAGAGCCGGTAGTGAGCATCATCGTGGAAGCCATACAAGCAGAGGGAGGCGACAACCATGCCACGCCCTATTTCTTCAAGCAGCTGCAAAATATTTCCAAGGAGGTGGGGAAGTGATGGCTTAATTCAGTGACATGCATGCAAATTGTCTTAACTGAAAAATAGGTGATGATTGCACATGCTGTCCTGCAGTAATAACATACAGGAATGCTTGTTTCCAGTAAGGATATGCAACATGTAGAATTGTTTTCTTTCAGAATGATAGTAAATTAGCTATGCTAATGAGGTTGTCACCTGTGATCTGTGAAAGCACGAGAACTGACATTGCAAAATGTCCACAAGACGCTGCCTATGTCCTTATGAGGTAGATAACTTGTGAAGATGGTTTGTTTTAGCCAAATGATATTTCCCCTTGAGGGTCTCAAGACAGGCTGCTTTTATTATTGATTGTGCCTTATATGAAAATTATTGATTAAAAACTGGCCATTCAGTTGATCAAAACTGTCACTGAAAACAAAACAATCACTTGAGAAATAGTCATGAACTTGTGGCCCTCTATGAATCTTCTCACTGTCAATCAGTCAGATGTGACTTTTTTGAAACTTAGATTGGAGCATCTTTCGTCCTTGATGAGGTCCAGACAGGATGCCTCGCAACAGGAACCTTCTGGGCCCACGAGGCATGGAACCTTCCAGAGCCACCTGACTTTGTCTGCTTCAGCAAGAAGATGCTGACGGCGGGCTATTACTTCAAGGAAGAGTTCAGGCCTGTTGGGGTAAGATGTGTATATGAGCCTCTTCATCCACATCTCAAAGCTTACCTTCTCTCCTAAAACTTACGTTTGTGCTCTTCCCTCCTAGAAAAGAACTACAATTTGATTAAACTTTAACCTAATTAGATCATTTGACAGGGAGGCAGGTTTGCAGAATTTATTTTGGACCACTGTTACTTTACATGAGGTTTAACACCTCATACTTTGAATTGGGATCCTAACGGGTTTAGAATGTACAGGGATCATCTGTCAATTACATGGACCTACTAGGCAAAACTTTTCTCATTACCGAGTACCTGTATATGTATTTCGCTTTGCAAAAGAATGTAGCTAGCCTGAATTACTCTTTTGCATGTAACCTTCAGCTGATGCAGATAGTTTCTTCACATTGACAAAACACACTAAAGACCTGCTCTTACTGCATGTCTGAAATTCTCTTTGGGGTCTTTCAAGTTAAAATAAAAACTTTATATTTTTTAAGGGGGGGGGCTTGGGGGAACACCATGTGATACCATAAGGGGCGATGGTCATGATACAGATGTACAATGTAATATACATCACATATACTTCAGTGTCTTATGTCATATACTTTAGTTGTTGGTAAGTCCAAGAAATTTGTTTTTGTCTCTTGAGTTTGCTCACCACAAAAAAGTGGGGGCAGGAGATTTGATAGCCCATTCCCCACCTCAAAAAGTAGGGGGGGGGGGCTAATGTACCCCCTCTCCCCCAGGATTTACGCCCACGATGCCAACCAGTACAATGTAAAAGTTGGATCAGTTGCCCTGGAGATTCTCTGCAAAGTGAAAACTGACATAAATCTAGTGTTTGTCTCTACTACAGTAATGACATCCGAAAGATGAAAGCTGCAAGATTCACAAGTATTGCCATACACCCAACATTTCTGTATTGAACTGCACTGCAGGCCAATCGTGTCTTCAACACATGGATGGGTGACCCTCCCAAGGTACTTTTGTTGGAGGCCGTCATCAACCAAATAAGGAAGGATAACTTGCAGGATGTTGTGAAGATGTCTGGACAATATTTACTGCGAGGCTTGGAGGAACTGCAAGTATGAACTCTCATCTTCTGATTCACTTAAATCTATCAGTTTAGGCTGTTGAGAGACCTTCAATTGCGGCTTGTGCAAATTCTGTTATGATAGTGCAGTGCATGAACCAGGATCATATTTCCTGGCTTCGCCAACAACCGGATTTCACGCTTGTAATCACCAAGCACAAGAAAAATTCTAGATTCTTCTCTGCTGGAAGTAAGCAATTCTTTGGTGAGCCACAATGTACTGCAACTGTTACCGTTAATATTTACTGCTATTAATAAATTTATTACTTGCAGTTAGCAGCATGTGCAGTTTCACCTACTTGGCAGTGAGCCAAGTAAAAATATGCACACTAATGGTACACAATAACATTCATTAATGCCCAGAACAAAATTGCAGCTGAGACAACTGAATACAGAGAAATTCTGCTGTCAACCACGGCTCTCTGTTGGGATTTGGACTAACACACTTTTACACACCAACATGCAAGATCCAAGTTTGAGCTCACATTCCAGCCAGTGATATTTTTCACTCCTTTTGTCTTTGGTCTAATGCCACTAGGCCAGATATCCACACATTCTGTCTAGGGCCAGGGGCGTGGGGACATTCTGTGCTGTTGACTGCACAGACACCGATACAACTCTGAAGATCGTGGCAGCAATGAGAAACGGAGGTACCAGTAATAGTCATGCACAAAATCCTTTTTTTTCCCTTATAAAAGGAACTTTATGATTTCAATTAGTAAAGCTTCTTAAAACTGAGTTGATATCTTACTGTGCTTCCATTTCTGGTTTTTTGCCATTTGTCGTGTATTAGGTGTTCAGATCGGTAACAGTGGGGCTCGATCACTTAGATTCCGTCCCGCACTGATATTCCAGCCCAAGCATGTTGCCATTTTGCTTGAGAATCTTGAAGCTACCCTGGAGGCACTGTGAAGACTGAATAACCATAGCAACACCAGAAAAGCATGTCAACTCAAGAGTGCTCTCCTTGCCTCCGTGACAGCAAGATTTGTTGTACTATTTCGAAGTCACATGTATAACTGAACTCGAATCGTGTATGGCTTGCAGAATTAAATTCAGCTTGCAGGTTAAATTCTAAATAAATATAAATATAGGCATTCAAACATGAAGGGTGAGAAGTTTTTGTACCATAGAGTCCTTAATTACGAACTAACAATGATCACTATGCACTTGTGCAATTAGTGTGCATACATGCATTACAGATTATACAACAATATCAACAGTGTTATTGATTCAAAGATGGGGCAAAAGTGCCTTGACGTGCTGGAATAGGGAAAGAGCGGTGTTGCCAAATTGTAGCACTTTCAATTTCCCCAAGTAACAACTGTCCTCATGATGAAGCATTCATTATTTTGCCCTTACTACAAAACCTTCACGCGAGGCAACACTTGGAAACAAGTAACATATAGGTGTTGTCTTCCATGCAGCTGCCAAGACAACCTACCCGTCGCTGATTGTGTTGCCAAAACCCTAAACCCCATTAATCTTGGACTTCTCAAACACTGCATTGTGACAACTCTTCAAAAATGAACCACGATCCCAAATCTAACAACTACTATGTAATTAATTTCATTCCAATTGTGTATACAAGGTACTTATTTTGCAATTAATGTTCTCAGAATTGTTAACACAAAACTCGATAGCTTTTGCTGTGCAGTTTGTAGTCATTTCATCAGATTGGTTCTTGTTAAAGATATGTGGAGAGTGTGGATCATATTTTACAGTAATTTTCTGTACTGTAGCATAAAATTGAGGAAATAATAATCTTATTGGAGCTTACAATTCTCTCTGTGCATGCCATCAAATACCCTTTCAGGGTCGGGGGAAAAAACAGAGGCCTGCCATTTGTACATGTATAGTCCCATGGCATGCAGTGACTCACAACTGTATTTACACTCTTACATGATTTGGGAAAGTCAGCAGCTCCAACCTCTCCTTGCCTAGTTCCAAGACTCCTCCTTTCCATCTCGTAAAATGACCGAACGGGGGAACAGCTTGCCTTGACCATACATGGATGACATAGCGGTCTTGAAATTACAGACGAGTCTGACAGTGGCTGCAGCCGCGACCAATAGAGTCATGTGCGATATCAAGCCGTAGCCCAAGCCATGATTTGGACATAGCCCTTCACTGGTGAGGGTGCATTGATTCCTTGCGAAAATGGCGGAATGATGCAGGGGCGTGTTTTAGCGACCATGGCAAGGAGCGTGTTTCTGCTTTGAAAGTTGGTTGGGCATTTTTGTGACTTTGGTGAGGCCCTTTTGACGTCGTCGTTCCACCCAAATGAGGACTTGAAGTTTCAATGCTAGATCAAAATGACGGAAAGGCGCACATAATTTTGGTGTCACCTCCAAGGTAAGTGAATGATGTACATGTATCCCTAATTTGTTTTTGCAGGCAGCAATTCAAAATGGATCGTTGCTACTATAACTACGACGAGAGAAAGGAACAGTAAGCGATTTTGATGTTCGTCAACAATGTTGCCTGCTACCGGAAGTTTGTTCCTGTCAGATAACACAACTGTTTATTACCTGGTTATTGCTGTTATGTCACAAGCATGTCTCTGGGCAGGGTTAACGGAAACACACCCAAGGTGGGTTGGCAAAACATTAATGTCCTTCAACCGACTTCAAGCCAAACAGTGCCAGTAAGGAAATCCAGGCTTACCCTGGGTGATGCCACAACTGTGGTCGCACCGCACTCATATACGTACTCTCAAATTTGAACGCGTGCATACTTTGGCAACTTGGAACGCCCTATTAGTCAAAATGGAATACGTAATGCCTGCACATTCCGCCTATGATCTTGGTGCTGTTACGGTATTGCATTTAATCCTGGTCGCCGCTCGAGCCTTTCTGCATACTGGAAAGTTTACCTTGCCGAATCCGTACTTCAGATCTTGTAGGCCGATGACGCACTGTCAATCTTCCGGATTTTGACGAGGAAGGCTGAGTGTGCAGCCTGTACATTGTGCGGTCTCGCTAAGTACTTCAGTGAGTGGTCTTGTATGTAGGAAGTGGAGACGTCCTCTGAGTTCTCGGCAACTGAGAATGAAACGTTTCAGACAACTTCTGAGTGGCATGGCAAGAACTTGTAACATTTTAAGCTTGATCTCCATACAGCTGCGATGGTCTCCTTTGTTGCGGCACAGTCCCTGACAATACTAAATAATTGTTTCAAAACACGGTTTCAAGGGGGCGCGAGCATGGATGTAAACATGCTGGCGAAGTTGGTCTTCGTGCAACTTTGCCAAACTGCTTCTTCGAGTTGTGAGGGTAAGCCCACGATGAATGGATGATTTAGTTGAATCATTAATGAGCCCACACAAAGGCATACCACATCTGTGCATGCAATTTATGCAGGTAAAAATGTCCATTGTCTTTCATTAAGAAGTCAGATAGCAGTACTACTAATGACAGCCACCCGATACACTTAGTTTGGAAAGTAAAGCCGTGTCCGACTCAGGTGTGACATGGCTATGAATTCAGTCCTTGCCCCTGAGGCACTATGGTGAATAGCCACAGCCGCAGGTAAAGATGCCCATTTTGGACATGGCTTAGCATCTCACCTTGCTCTTCTGACTCACTGTCCGAGCCCATGCTGAGGGCTGGTTCCCCTAGGGAGACACCACTGTGGCGTTTGGCCTGGTGCACGAGCCACACCTTGTGGGTGACCTCCAGTGTCTTCTCAATGGTAAGTGGTAGGCCGTGGACGCGCAGGTATTCGGCCACCTGAACTATCTGTCAAAATCACAACGCACATACACGTCGCTCAGTCCGAGCAACAATGCTCCCAACTCTCATTTTAACAGATCCTTCAAATACACTCAGAGGTTTGGCAGGACTTTGCAAGGGCAAGGACAGAAATACCAAGCTCAAAGGCTTTGAGGATCCCAAGCATAAATGCCAGGCAGCTGAGGGTCAAGGAGGGGACACTGGAGAGCGTTCTGGTTTTCCGATTTGGATATTTCAAACACCACGTCAATAACAACAAAAAAGTTGACATAATCTCATTGAAAGTGTAAAGAGAGAAGATTTTGAAGCATCTGGAGAGTTAGGGTTTGACTCTGCTATAGTTCAGAAATTAGAAAACAGACACTGTAAAAAGGAACGCGTCATTCTCATCTCTCCTGCAAATCAAAGACAAATTGACAAACCTGTGTTATATTAGCGATATACAGAGCAGCAGTCTTTCCTGATTTGAGTCGGGCGGCCAACGTAGGCAAGGCATCACATGGTCTCTCCATGTCAATGACTGCTCCATCCACCAACAATGCCGGGTCGAAATCTTTGTCACAGCTCTGTAATTTGCCTTAAAAAGTCACAAATAACACAAGGCAGAAACATGAAAAAACAAAAAAACTAATACCTTGATGACATCCTGAAAGGCCATGGACAAACACCACCTAGCAAGCCAAGCATCTGACACACTGCTTGCAGAGCAAATTATCTTCAAGAGAGTATTTTTTTTATCACACACCTGAATGAAAGCAAACGTTTTCCGGCCAGGGTTGGTGGGGATGGCTGATGTTCCAGGATGACACCCACTTTTTCACATTCTTGATGGCTCTCTTCACGTGCTCAGGCCTAGCATCAAAGGTGTGCACACATCCTTCTGGGCCAACTGCGAAAAATGGACAAAGTAACACTGCATGAGGCCAAAGATATGGCATTACCAGCTTTTGGGCACCAGCCTAACCTCTGTCATGGTTACCAGTCAGTCAACCAACATGAACGTACAAAGCCTATATGAAGAGGGTTCATATCAGGACGTTACATGTACACCAATAGTTTATAATCTGTCAATGCTCTCGGTTATGTAGTGTTAATTTGTGTACATGGACATATAGGTTTTGCAATACGAAACTACTACAAGTTTAGAACGATATGAAAAGTTCCTCCATGTGCCACATTAAGTGGGTGCCTAAACTTAAGCAATCACTGCATTAATCCACTGGTTTCTGTACAACCCCCCCCCAGAAAATTTCCCTGCTTATTTATTTACTCTCAATACTGCTGATTTTTTTCCGGATTTACCAGTGAAAAAATGTAACATACATGTACACATACATGAAAAAGCGGCACTCTGATGAATAATCCTGAATATCGGAGATTCAGTTGCGTACTGGTACCAACTCTTGGATCCCCATTCTCACAATGAGTTGTGGGGACAGGATTAATCGGACACTTGGCATTTCATTCATTCTGCACATCAGTGATTACGGTATCTCCCGATTTAAGTCAGGTCATATTACCGTAATGCCTTTGGTTGCAACCAATTAGACCAGAATGTGAAAAGTGCTGTGCTTCCAACTTTCCATTAAACTAACGGTGCCAAACAGAGTCCATAAACATAAGATACATGTATGGTGCTAGTGGGCTAGTTGTACACACCTGCTCTGGACAGAAAGAGTGTCATTGCGCCGGAGCCAGTGCCTGCCTCAAGAATGACATCCCCCGGGCTGGCATCGATCATCATCAGCATGGTACAGCAATCCTGTCGGTCATATCACAGCAATAACAAAACCTCATGTTCCTTCACAGATCAGCAGACTTACAGCTTACTGGTGCGATACTCCTACATGTATGCAGGACTTTGCCAAATATGTCATTTCAATGTGGAGGTACACAGTGTAATTTGGAGATAACTGATGCAGTAATCAGTTCTTCATACTGTGGGAATTTTCTACACTCTTACTTTAAGATATTGGTTGGTACCCAACACTGAAAATAGGAGCAGCATATCACAGGTCTTTTGTCCAAGTTACACGTACTTCAGATTTTCAATTCACATCTAAGACAATGATAAATATAAAGGGCGTTTTTTTCATCTCCAGCTCCAAAATAGAAACAGAGTTTAGCAGGCAGTTAGTTTCCATTTAAGGTATACACTGACCTTTGGATAGGATATGACTGGTGTGCGCTTCATGTACAGTACAAACTCCTCCAGGGACGGTCTGCGGATCAAGACGTCTATGCCCAAGTCTGTTGTGAAGGTCTTCCCTGCTGGATGGCCCACTACATCAGCATGCGAGATGGTGCCAAATTTGGAGCAGAAGTCCGTACCAGCACTCAGTTTGAACATTCTGGTCATGATTTGGGAAAGCATAGGGCACATTTGAGCGATGGCAGGTTGTTCACCACCGGTAGATTTTGCCTGGTATCCAGGATGTATTCTGTGCACAGGTTACCAGGGAGAATCCACCGCTGGAGGATAGAAAGTCAACAGATGGTCGTCGCTCAAACATGCCCATAAGTGTCAGCATAGTCAAGATTGACCTTTTTCAGGGAGACTGGGAACACGACTAAGGCTTAGAGAACCAAGACCAAAATTCTGAGCTTAAAGTCTCTTGACCGAGCCTAAAACGTTTTTGCAAGGCTGAGATCTTCAAAATCTATCATTAAAACTGAAGGGACCATGCAATACACTTATTTTACTACAATCCATAAAACTGCACCTTTGCAGTTCCATTTTCAAGTTTTGTAATGCTATTTAAATCTACAGTTTTGAGTTTTTAGGTTTTAATGCCAATGAAAATTATCTGACTATTCAAGAGCAAAGCTGTGACAACTCAATCTCAATGTTGCACTGTTTGTGCAAAAAAACCTGCTAGAATTTTTTCTGTTACGCTGTTTTGAAGTTCCATTTTCTCTGGCAATTTTTTGTTGCGTAAATTAAGTACATGGTAATATGACAGCCAGAAACCTTTATCAGAGATGTTTTCAAACAGCAAGTTTAAGATTAACAGAAACTCAATAGCATTGTCCATTATTTACATCAAGTGCCCTCACTTGTCTGGAGTGCTTGAACAATTTTTAGTGTATTCTTTGAAACATTCCAAAAAGGTTTTCAAACAGTTTTCTACACTGAAGAAAAGTATAAATACCGAGAGGTCATCTGTCTGTTTGCCAACAGAACAGAGGGCATTTTTCGCATTCTTTTGTACATTCTTTTTTGCAAAATTGCGAAAAGCCAATAAATATTCACAAGAAGTGAATTTCTGAAACATTCACTATGTATCCTTTGAATATTTGTAAAACAATAGGGCTTGTATTTTTACATGTACATGTACATGTACCAATCCAACTGGCATTCCAGCAAACTTCCTGCAACTTGTCATCTGAAAATGCAAACCTGTAGAGATACTCATGCCGCTTGAAGTTCTCCTTGACAGCAAGCACCATCTCCCCGTCTACCATTGGAGGATCACTTCCTAATTTGAAAGGCTTGCTCAGATCCACTCTGCCTTCGTCCAGGCCTCTCAAGTGGTCATCCGATGCAGCCCTGTTTAATTCAAGTCTGGTAACTCCATCTTCGTCCTTGGGAGCGCTAGACTCCGATTCAGATTCAACAGTGTCTTCATTCCGATCCTGGCCACTACTTGATCCTTCGTGGCCAGGGCTGGAACCCAGCATTTGGTCCAGCCTCTCAGTGGGTGAAAGGCTCCGCCTCCTTGGAAGAAGCCCCTGCCTCCTCGCTTCTAAGTAACTTAGCCCTTCCACTGTCCTTGTTTTCTCATCAGCACTCTCATGTCCATTATTGCAGGTCTCCATGAAGTTTCTACTTTGAAAATACCAAGGCCACCTACCTGTAGATAGAATTCTCCTCAAAGAATATTGCTGATAGGAGTTGCTGACAAAACACCGATAATTAAGAATAGCCCGCAAATCTACTCTCTTGAAGTCCTGTCTTATTTGAGGTAGCATTGAAATATCCCCTCTTAAAAGCCGGGTTCTCGAAGGCATCTTGACTTTGCGTGGCTCCAGTCTTGTCACAGGCCTGGAGAGGAAAAGACATTGTCGGTATAACCTCTGGCTGACCTTCTGACAGTTTCTGTGAGGGCTGGCACCTGCGACTGCTTGCATGATTCCAACGAGGAGTGAAGGTTGCAGCAGAAAAGGTCGGTCCATCATGAAAACGATCTGTGAAGAAAAAAATGGGAATAAGTTCTTCTTCGACTTCCATGGACGACTGCCAGAACCAAATCTCAAGGCGGTCCTTGTGCTTAAGCCAATCTGAGCACAGTCCAAGCGGTTTGCAAACTGCTTGAAAACACAGTTCATCGTTAATGGTCCTTATTCATAAGTTGGCTACATCGAAAAAGTGAGGTTTTGAGCTTGAAAGCATCAATGAAAGAATAAATGAAATTCCTGTAAAATTATTACCTGTCTACTCTGAGGAATAGTTTCATGGTGCTTTGCAACAGATTTGGAAAACATTTGAAACGGAGGTTTTGAACTCACACACATTCTTCATAGTCTGATACCATCCCATTCAACCCTTTAATAATTCATAAAACAGATTCAATTAATGAGATCAAAAATGGCCTCCTTGAGAAGAAAGTCCACTTCATATACCAAGTGTTTAGGAAAGCAACATTGTATGATTTGCTAAAATCTGAAGCAAAGATTGAGGCAGAGGAAATTTGACCATGAACTAGTCCACATATACTTTAAGCTGTTGGAACCCTCACAGCGAGTGAACATGCAAAGGGAGTATTTCGACTTTAAGGTCCCTTTTTAATACCATCTTCATCTGGTTGCAAGCTTACATGTCTCTGTGAATGGAATGCAGATCTAGTGCAAATTGAAATCTTTGACTTAAAAAATTCTCCAGAGCCAAAGATTACATCACAATTATGCAGGTTTTTGTGTCAGTGACCCAACAACGGATCTAGTGGCCTAGCTAAGATTTTACTGGGGGGGCAGATAAGCGGCACCAGCATGTTATGGGGTGCACAGCTTTCAAAGGTGTGGTTTTTTGGGGCAAGTTCTTGTTAGCCTTGTTCAATATCCATCTGTTATTTTTGGGAAGGAGGGGGGGGGCACCTGGGGAGGCACAGGGAAATTGTGGAGGCACGTGCCCCCTAGCCCCTCGTGGCTACACCACTTGACAGACCACTGATTGCAGTCTGGATCTGCACGGATCAAACTGGCCCTCACACAATGATGCAAGCAGCCAAGAAAATGGCCAAAATGTTGACATTTAAGGTACAGACTACAGTAGTAGTAGTAGGTATATTCTGTGATCTCTCCACTTGTGCCGACTAGGCCGGTTAGGTATAGTAGGTCTAATTTAACATGTTTAACTTCCAAACTACGGAGTAATTTAGGCCTTTTTCTGGACTTCCCCATATGTACAATGTTGGCTGATGGCTGCCATGTTCAATGTCAAAGCTTGATGGCCCGAATGGCTGCGACATCGTGTTATGCAAACCTGTTGCTCATGAGCAGCCTAAACGGGCACGACAGCTCACAATAAAAGTTCTTTATTTTAAGGGTACCGATACTGACATTAAACGGGTACCGTACAGGTACCTGGTTTCATAAATACCTGTAAATGCACACCCCTACACGGCCGTTTTTGTCAGTGAAATGGACTCATCGGCATGTCCTGCTCACGGGAGCAGATTCTGTTGGCTGAGTCCATGGGATGCATGCAATCAATTTGAGATATACGAGAAACAGCCAAGAACAGCACAAAACAGCCAAACAACACGGTTAACAATGCACAGTTCATCTTGTGCTCAGTGGGGCCAGAGAAAGACCTAAATTTCTCAAAAAGTTGGAAGTGATAGTAGGCCTTGGCCTACTCAAACATTTAATCCGTTTGGCACAAGCAGAAAGATCCTAAAAATACATGATAGTATTTTGGCCATTTTCTAGGCTACTTGCATCGTTGTAATTGTATGACTCTGCCAAAATTTTGGCACATGGATGTGTGGCCAATGACAACATAACAGAATGGGCCATGGTTGACAGCCCAGCAGGCAATACAATAACCTTGGGCCAACTTCATAGGAAGTTCATAAATTTTTCAACTACTTTTTTTCTGTTGTCTTTTTGAAGTGATCTTGGAGAGGATGTCATAAGAAACATTTTGATATAAGTTTGGATTTCATCGAACTCTGTAAAGCAAAGAAATACTTATTTAAAACAGGAATATTTTGAGATAATGGAGTGCAAACTGTGATTTTTGTACACAAAAATAAGAGTGGATTTTGACTGAAAAGCTGAAAATTCACATTTCCATAAAATGTTTGTTCTCATACATGCCTTATTTCAATGAATTAAATGCTGGCTTCGCTTCAAATCTCACAAATTTTGAAATTGGAAATTAAATAGAGGGGCTAAAGTGAGTGGAAAAAGACACATATTAATCACAATTTTCTATTTAAGAAAATGAGTTTCCAAATAAACAGCACCTTTGCTCATTTATGCATGTCCCTACATAGAGCTACCTCAGCGCTTAAGGCATGCGATAGTGCATAAAGCAAGATTAGGCCTACCGGCCCAAACTCCATGCGATTGCCATGCTAACAACACAACTGCTAAACATCGGTCAAAATCAACATATATCACACACAGTATAGAGTACCAAAGTGAATACATCACGCGCACAATTGGTAAGGCATGAGCGTGTGAACCAGCGTGTGAACCAACAGGCGAACATACTCCATTCGTTTGCACTGCACTTTCTGGTTCACAGTGACGTCACACTTCGGTAGCCCTAACCTTATTTTATTAAGCTCAAGCAAGGTTTCTTACACTTAACACTATTAAACACTTAAGTTAACAGCAAATTTTCTGCTAAGCAGCTCTCTATGAAATTGGCCCCGGCTGACCATACTCACAATGCTAAGCTGGAGTAACTCCTGTACTTATGACACCTCAGAATGGTGATGGTACGATGCAAATGCTTGCCTAAACCCAAGCTTTCAAACATCTCCAATGAGTAAAACCTTGCTCCCTCGAGTAGTGCGTTCCTACTTCGTTTTTCCTCAGTCCTCCAGTCATGCCAGTTCATTATTTTGTACATGTACCCTCCGCACTCGCGCTCCCATGTGCTGCTGCAACCTTTTACAGCGCCCTCACGAGATGATTTTGAAACAAGTCGTCTTTTTCGGATGTTAAGAGTTTTATATAACGTTGGCGGTTTTCTAAGAAAGGCGGCTTCATGTCCGTCTTAAGCTTCGTGTCTAAAATCGATCCCCGAATGTATTTCCATATTGTTCATATTAAATAGAAGCACTTCATTATTTTACTCTTTCGGGCACACAGTTGCATGTTACGATTGCACAGTCTAACGTTTCGAGCTGACAACGTCAAAGTTAGAGGTTGAAAAGCAGGCGAAACCTGTGACGGTGGTAAAGCCTTGGATCGGAAAACTCTCCGTGCATTATAACTGACTTCGTGAGGGCCGGATCCAGGGACAATTTTTCGTGGGGGGATAAATTGTCCGGATCCAAAAGTTTGGAAAGTGTTCCAAGTAACCTTTAATGGCTTTTCTGGGAGAATGTATGATGGATTTTGTACATGCTTTGAAGAGAAATGAAATGAAATTGGCCCCCTTTTGGTGGTGGTGGGGAGTGGGGCTGGAGGTGGTGGTGGGGATATCGCTCGTTAATTGAGGCCCTGGATCCGCCCTCACCCCATGAACAAGCGAAGCAGGTGGCGTCTCCGTGAGCATCACTGCACACCGGCTGACCGAAATCAATTTACTGATTTTCGGTATAATTATCAAGGAAGAAGGTGAATCCCGTCATTTTCAAAAGTTTGATTTAAGTTTTTTTTATCGATCGATCGATGTTCGTATCGATCCAAGTGCATGCTAGTCCAATAAGAATACGCTCGTAAAACCGAACGAAAAATATCTTTGGTGGTTTGGTCCATGGACTCAAGGTCAAGTGGGTGAGTCGACGGCCCAAGAAGCTGTCGCCAAGGAAGAGCAAGGCAGTGGGATAAACGCATGTGACGTCAGTAAGACTGCCCCACACACTCCCTCCTCCCCAAGGAAGTCGAAGCGTTCTTGTTGCAGTTGGAACACTGGGTGGTTCCTGTGTGCTCCAATGGCCTGGAACTCCCACATTTCAGCCGTCGGCGGCGCTTTGTCGCGTCGTGCCGTCGCATCGTCCCGTCGTGCTGTCGCATTGTCGAATTGTTCAATTGTGCAGTGCAAGAGTACAGTCCACCAGGATGTCTTGTAGGTAGGTCCGTTGCCGTGTCTCGCGATGTATCTCAATGCCATCCACGTACATCGTGGTTGGTACTTCCTCCGTGATGGTTGCCACCTTTGGCGCTCTTGGTCTTTTCAGCTCGAACCTTGCCCGAGACTTCGTCGTGGGGTTCCTCTTGCTGGTTTCACGTCTAGGTGGAGAAAATGTAGCTGCCCTTGCAGGCTCCTGCTGGTCCTTGCTCCTGTCCTCCTCCGGAGGGATGCTGCCCGTGATGCTCAGGGTATCTTTCTTCTCTGGTGATGCCCTCAACGGGAACAGGGGTCTCGTCTTCTGTGAAAACTTCTCCCAGGGTATCTGGATTCTCTTCTCGGGAGCGGGGCTATCCTTTTTCGGGCTCTGATGTTGTGGGGGACTTGCCGTTTTCTCTACCACCAGCCTTCGTGCTTCTATCTCCGGTCGGTAGGCCTCCTGACGCTGCTGCTCATTCTGGATGCCGTCTATGTTGGACAGGTGGTTTATGTCATTTGCCTTGTAGTGGCGTCTTAGATTATTCCATCGTCGGTTTCGGTAGTCGCAGTGCTGGCATTGCAAGTACACTGCCGATCCATGACTCTTCTTGTGGCGTAGCAGGCCTCTTAGATGTTTAAACTTCTTTTGACATAGGGAGCACTGAAATTCTATTTTTGCTCCAACCTCCATCTTGTTTTCTCTGTTGTTTCCGCTTATATCTATGTGATCTTTACGGAGACTTCTGTAAAGTAACAGAGGGAGCAACTGGTTAATCATTACTTTAAGCAACCATTGATTATTTATGAAATCAATGTGAGTACATAATTACTATCGATATCTTATCGGTAATTTATGCTCCCGTTTGGGATATCTTCTAGGCCTTAACTTTACATATTAAGAATCGTTGAAAATATAAAATAAACTTAGAGTTAATACTTCAAATTATATATGCATATACTCTCCGTTAAATAATTTCCAACACATGAAGGTTTTGTCTGGTTTGTTTACACCCTAAGCGTAGAATTTGACACCCTTGTGTACTCTTGTGTCATTTGCTCGAAAAAGAACCTGTCCAGCCTGGGTACGTTTGAATTATGCACCCCATAATCAGATTATGGGATATGATATGATTATCCTGGACAAATCTCTTTGGCCCCCGCTACCCAAAGGCCCCCTGTCAATGTTGGTGTCGGTGCGCGGTCTGCGCGCCGACTTGACATATTGACCTCATTTACAGGGGGAGTGGGGGACTTGGGGAGCGTACAGCTATTGCAAGTGTCCCAACAATTTTGGCTAGGACTGTAGTCCCGTCCCTATATCTCCAGACATCTTACAGACGTTCTCTGAATGTAGGGACTGGTAACGGGTAATGATTCCCGAGGAATTCTGCCGGTTTTATATTAATGAGAAATTAGCATAAAGCAATTCCCACAATGCAACATTGTCCCACGACAGAGTTTCTGGATGCATGATGGATATTATGTCAAACCAGTGGTGTGTCCAGCGGGAGAAGACGGGGGAGGGGGCAACTTGTCCCCTGGCGGATTTTGTTATTTTTATTTTTCTTGCAAAAGCTGGATAAGCCACTGTGTCAAACAGATTGATGTGCTACGTAACACTGTACGGCATTGAAGAATCGGGAAAAATAGAAGCAACAAATGAAACGTCCCAAGCTTTCGGTGCGAAGCACCTTCATCATTGGAATTACGGCTTGCTTTGATGAACCGCAGGTGGAGCAAACGCGGTGAAAGAGCGTTTGTGGAGAAACCGCGTTTACAAACGGCTCGCGATCGGTCAGGGTTGCCCCGTGTAAGCCAAAAGAATCTATCATTGTTTCGTATGCAAATCCCCCCCCCCCGCTGACCGAACTGGATATGTCAGGTAGCGTATTTCTAGTCCATTGTCCGAGTCCCCGCCGTCTTACAAGTCACAGTGCAGGTCAGGGTTGCCCCAAAGAATAGCCAAAAGGACAGCACCGTTTTATTTTGTATGCAAATAGCAACCACTGGCCGAATACATCACTGTACTAGAGTGCAGTTGAATCATATCAAGTAAACAAACGCCAGCACACTGTGCAGTGAAATCTACCTTTCCAGTTTGGACATCATTCATAAGGTGAGTACTGTGTGCATTGAATAGTCCCACCAAAACTAAGTTTTCATCCCTGCTCGTCGGCGAAACCATAGGCATCAAGATTATTTGGGTCTTGTTTTGTTCCTGTGATATGTCTCGTAGCTGTTACTGTAGCCCCCAGTATCTGAAGCTAGCGACGAGGCAACCATCGTGATCCTGACTTATTCACGTTCTGAGAGTTTTTGCGTGTCATTGCGCTGTAAGGCTCTTAATTAAATATGTATTTGTGTGGCTCTGGACTTTGGAATATTTACCATCAGGTATTTTGCTCTTTCTTTATCATACATGGTCCGCACGGTCTCACACCTTCACTCAAAAAGTTGGCGACAAATTTGGGCTAAATATCTCTTACCAGGTATTGGGTCATATTCAGCCAACAATGAGTAACTCTTTATTGTCCACATCTGAAGATAAGGATATGTAGAAACCATAAATTAATGGGAAAGTCTACCAAGATCAGGTAAATTATCGTTGTCCCTAGTTGATAATGTCCAAGACGTTGGTAGTTTACATTTTGGGCTTCATGATAAATCGGACATTTAAATGAAGATTTTGATCGGGATGGCGGACAACTCAACCGTTTACCAACTCGACCGTTGAGACAAATCCACAGGTGGGGCAAGTCGACCGTTCAGCAAGTCGTCCGTTAAGAAAAGGACGACGTGCTTAATTAACGTGCAAGGCGTAAACATAACGGAGTGCGTGGCAATTAACACGAATTGCAGATCAATGTCTGGTAGGGCGTTCCACATGTGCCATCGCTGTCGCATTTTGGATTCGCCGTGGCAAATTGACGGTATTTGAGCACACTTCTCAAGGAAACTCCATATTATCACTTTTTCATCTAACATGTACAGGCCAATTTTTCTTTCTTGACAAATAAATCGGGGCAAGACGCGGGGAAGAAAAAAGAAAAAAAGACAAAGAAACCAACAATAACAAAATGCGACTGCGATGGCACATACGGAACGCCACATTTTGGACAGATTTGAGTGTGGACATAACATGCACAGGGACCCAGTGACACATAATTCGTACGGACTGCACTGGTGAGTGGCGCGTCGGCCGCCCAAACTATATGCGCTCTGGCGCGGCGCACCCTCCGCGATACACAAACGCTGCGCTGGTCCGGGAGACGTTAGACTTGAATCAAGTCGGACTTACGTTGCTCTTCCCTAGTCAGCCATCCCTTCAGCTGGTACACACGACACGGTCATCGCGCTCAGCCTAGCAGCTCGCATAACCCTTTTAAGGTGCCTTATTTGATATCCATTTTTGTACAACGTGTGTCAGTAAGTCCAACTTGATGGAGAAGCCAATCGGACCCCCCGTCGGTGATATGTACTTATTCATACTTGCACAATGATCGACATGAACTTGCATAATGTATACAGAATTTCCACAGATCAAAGTAGTCAGACTAGTAGACTCGTTCATTACAATGAAACAAGTCCGACAATGTGATTGGCTGCAACCACTTTTGGTAGGTGAGCCCATTCAGTGTGTACAAACGGTTGGCAGATTCGTCAAGTAGAGAACTGAACTCAGTAATAAGTGGACACAAGAGGGCGCGAGGCAAGCAACCAACTATAGAATTCCATATCGTCCGTCGTGCGTCGCCCGCCGTGCGTCGCCCGTCGTCCGTGGTTTTTTTGTCACGATTGCGCAGTGGTATTTTTAACTTTCACCCTTGATCGTTTCGCATGTACATGTCCTTGTTCGATCGATCCACCATGCTGACTCTCATTTTAGCAATAGATTTAGAAGATGTATTCGTTTTTGCAGTTGCGCCGAACTCTACTTGAACGAAGAAATAATATCCTGATATCGGTTAAGTGACGTGTATTTAAAACAATACCATTTTTTGTTACATAAATAGATTAACAAAATAGACTTTTGTTAGGGTAGATTGTTTTTCTCGTTAACTTAGTTACTCTTGACGTAACTTTACTCGTTAACGGCCTGGCTTTAGGTCTACAGCCTATGTAATATTTCTGTCTCTCCCTGCCCGATATCCCACAGAACGGAATGTAAATTATAAATTATTTACAATGTTTGATTCCTTAGTAGTTTTCATAAGAGACGAACTGATTCAACATTATTTCGAGGGCGGGTATACCTGAATACTCCAAATTAGACATGACCTGATTTGCAGGTAGGCCCACGGAAGTCTTTTAAACAGTAACGTTACTAGTTAGACCCATAAATAATGCTGATGTGCTGGACAACCTGTTCTAATTGGTCTATCCACCATGGCATACACACCCACAAAAACCAACACGTCACATTTTCTGAAACTTAAACCAAGTGGTAATTGCCCCCTAACAATACATTTAATAAACAGTTTGTTATCCTCAGCACTGTCTAGTATTTCTGTATTTCGAGGTGAAATTGAGGGAACAAAATGGAACATCTGTATCGGTTGGCAGATTTGTTTCTAGAATTTGATGAAAACAAGTTGGCACATTTTTACAGTATGCAAATTAGAATTAGACTGTGGATAAGTTGGCCTGAACATTTTTGCAGAAAATGTTTTCCCCTAAAAAACACAATGGTTGAATTCTCAGAAAGGCGACATTTTCTTGTCAAGTGGCAGGTGTAGTCTAGCATTATTGGCATTAATTATGGGACTAGTATTGCAGGTGGGATTTGTACTTGCCTTATTGGAAAAAGATCCTTAGAAGTGAATGGAATCATCACACTGTCATTTGTTAAACCCCAGCTTTTGCAGGTCCTATGCAACCCATTAGATGGGCGATGCACGACGGACGACGGGCGACGGAAAATGGCATGTTTGGAACTGGTAAATGGTAGAATTGGGACACAACAAAAAGCAAAAGGCGACGGGCGACGGCAGATATGGAATTCCATAACCAACAGCGCGTGGTCTCGCTATTTTATCCAAAGCAGTACAGAGTACTTTATTCAAGTCAATTGGCAGAACAGGTGAGGGTGAATGACTTAGAAGCGCACGTGCACTCATTACCAATCGATTTCTCTACATCGATGACTTGTCCCAAAGGTTGAGTTGTCTGTTGATTTGAGGCAAATACAGTCGAGTTGTTCCACCGGTCGAGTTGTATCAACAGTCGAGTCGTCTGAGCCCGGCTTGAAAGCCATGCAAACTATGCCTTTCTGAACCTTTCATATCTTCATTGAAAACTGAATTATTTCAACGTATTTTGTCTAGTGTTTACTTAATTCTTGATTTAACTTCTCTGTATTTATTTGTAATTTCAATCACTCGAGTTTTAAAATTATAATGTACTGTAATCATTTTTCCTTTATTGTAATTTACCTAACTGTAAGGAGCATTGAGATGGCTTGACAATAATGTGAGGTGTTTTAAGTATTGTAACGAAACATTGGATGAGACTGCGTACCAGTCTGGCACTGGTACTCGGCTTGGTGGTTCCACACCGCATGGGTCTTTGCGCGCAGCCGCGGCAGTATAAAAGCTTCGTCGCAGCGCACGTTCGCCCTCTTGCTCTTCCCCCCACTTCGCAGTAAGAAGATAGAGCGAAACACGCGTAGTTACGGATCGGTATACGTGCAGCTGCGCGGCTAAGTGCAACCTTCGGCGCTGATTCCAGGGTTTGGGCGGCAGCTACGGAAGCCTAGCAAGCGGGCTTGTTCATTATCGGAGAGAGTGGTCTCGGCGGGAGTCAGCCATCTAGCCAGGAGCTTTAGAATAAAGGCCAGTAGCCGGGGGCACATTTATCTGATTTCTTATAAGTTGACGCCTCCCTAAGATCAAGAGTCACCTGTAAAGGCCGAGAAGAGAATAAACCGGTAGGAATTACAACAGTAATTAAGCCTAGAGAGTGAGTGTTGGTGTGAGTGTTATCTGCCCTGCTGCGGTGCCTGGGGGTATATTTCTCCCAAAAGGAGTTGTGTCCCGGGTCTTCCCGATAACCGCTCGCCGGTAGGGCCTAATCCCGAGCGTATGTCTGGCGGTTGTGAGAGTGTGAGCTACAGTATTATTATTACCAGCTTGGAAAGAGATTTACAATGTAGACATGACTGAATCAGATTTAAACCTATAAATACTTATGAACGTTTAAAATATCAACCTTTCCCTCTGTAGGTACCCATGTTACCACAGCTCGTCACTCGGTCTCCTTCAGAAATTTTGAAACACCAGCAAATGGTTACAAATGATTAACAAATCCAAATAATGAGCATTTATGTTTGCCCAACTACGGGGGAAAGTCCGGTTAGTTAGTAAAAGGCCATCTATAAAGGCAGTTGATATTCTCGATATCGACTGATCCAACTTGACGCCATAACTGCAGTTGCACCGCAATGACATTCCTCGGCTTGACACACGTGTGCATCTGGCAAATCACGACACACTATTGGTCGAAGAGGCATGTAACGCGCGCGTACCCCCCGTCGACGAGCCACCGCATATTAAATGGCTGCTAGTTCTGGTTGTCAGTTATGAGGGCCTCGATTTTTAAGAATGTTTTTTGCGTGGGGAGTGTTACTAGGGTTGTGTTTGCTATTACTTTTCACTATGTTTGAAACTTAAGGCAAATTTCAACAAAATTGTCAATTGCTCAATTTGTCTGTTCAATATTTACGTAGCCCATAGAGATCATAGATCTACTTATGATCTCTGTGATCTCTCTTATGTAGCCCTAGCTCAGCAAAATGAATAGCGCCCTCATGTGTTGACACTGTTGCAGTCGTAAGTGTGCTCAGGAAAATCATGAAGGCAGTCATGTTCTCAAGACTGTGTAGAGTTTTTGAAGCAATCTAAATTCTTCGCAGGACAAAACAATTGTTTCAGCAATTTTTGGACACTGTTTGCTCCCAGGTAAGCCTTACATATATCAGGGGTATAAAGCAGATTACTTTGGTGGATTTTATTGTTTGATTAAATGTCAAAATTCGCGCATGTTAATATTAGCACTGCTACCTTCCTCGTCGCGTATTTTCTTGTTCACAATGCGTACTGACGTAATTTGAACGTTCGAAGATTCGAATGTCACTTGCCCTTCGTTGGCGGTAAAGATGTAGAAAATCAAGGCATTTCCGGTGAGCATTTAAATTAGCTTATGAATACACGAGTATTTTTTTCAAATCTCAGCAAAATACAATTACTCAGTGATTTCAATGACCCAGACAATAGCAAAACTTCCCAATGAATTCGAACTTCACGAATGTACATCGTCTGCAGACGGTCACTTTGAGGTGATTTTTTTTTCTCAGCAACAGAGGGCGGGAAAAATACAGAGCATCAGAAGGGGCCTTGCACTTTATCATTATTTACACATAAGAGAAATAACAAAAAAAATGATATGTATAGTATTCTTAATATTTCGGGGGAATATTTACAAAATTATCCTAATATATTTCTAAAATTTCTGGCCAATTTCAGTTGCCACGTTAGCGCAATCTGTTCAAATTTTACATGTGGTCTAAGTACAGGTATTTTATAGCAAGCTGTAACCCAAAGGCCCTAGGCCTACATTACACTATGGTCAGTAGTTCGCGGGATAAAAAGGCCATTAACGCATTGCCGTGTTTATCTTGCTGTAGTTTGCTTTTAGAAGCAGATGTAAAATATTTTTGTAGATGTTTAAGTTTTGTTGAATGCAAAAACTAATATTTTTTCATGTAATTTTACAAAACGTAAAATTATTCGTACAAACAAGACTAATAAAGAAAAGACACGGGGACCCTTTGGTTTGCTGACACGAGTGTAAATCATGTTTTAATCGGCGGAACATGTGCACCGGTCTTCTACAACCAAGGGCTGAGGTGTAGAGGTGCTACTCTCCCACTGCGATGATCAAAGCATATTGGGGAGTTCTCAGTGAGCAAAAATTCATCCAAAGAACAGCTCGAAAATTTGGAATTCCCGAAGCAACACTTAGGGATCGTGTGAGACGGAGAATTAGGAATTGGGAAATCGAGAGAAGAGAGACTGGGACAAAGGAAGAAAGCTGTGTAAAAAAAATGTATGAGCTACGTTGTGTCAGGGAAAGTCATAACAGAAGACACAACCAAAGAAAAGATAAGAGAATATAGGCATTCAGTATCTACCCCCCAAAAAAGAAGACGGCACGAAAAAGAGTAGAATCCGAGAAGGCAGAGACAAGTCAGAAGCAGTCCACTCCTGCCCAATTAAATTCTTCCCAGTCCAGAACAAGTGGAATGCAGACATTCCACTGCATGCTGTCCGATCGTCAAGAAAGGCAGTGAGTGACAACGAAGATGAAATTGAGGAGTCGGTGAAATGCTGCGTTTGTCATCGCCCTCATAAAAAGTACTGGAAAAAACCATGGTAGGACCACAGTATAATCCGTGGTAAATTGCCTGGGGTAAATCCATTATGGTATTGGTACCATTGTATTACCATGGTGAAGTATCATGGTGTTACGAATGTACTGTTATTGCAATACCGTGGTTAGGCTGTTGCATGAAAGTGATCTGGTACGTACCGCGGTATTACCATGGTATATAGTAGTACAGTGGTATAACCATGGTTCAGTACCATGGTACTGTACCACGGTAGTATCGTGGTTCAGTGCGATAGAAGGCCTACTGTACTACAGTACTACCACAGCTCAGCATCATGATATTGTACCATGGGATTACCATGGTTCACTTAGCAACAGTACTGTGCCACTACAGGTTGTCATATCATTGCACAGTGGTATTACCATGACACAGTTTAATGGTATTCCCTTGGTTTCGTGAAACCATACTCTGCACCACACTCCATCATTGGAAGAACAATCTTTTCAAGTTATCACTTCTGTGCAAACACTTATTTCAGAAATCTATCCATTCACTTCCTCCTACAACACCAGATATCCGTACATGTAAAAAAGGCAATGAACATTGCTGCTTTCATTTGCTGTTTTATTTAAAGAAAACATTAAATGCTATTACAACTTTTAGAAGTATAGCATAAAGATTTCATAACAGCATGTACTGTTGAATTTTTCCTGTATATTTCAACATTTTAAATGAAAAGTTTGGAAAGATGTATGATAATATCTACCTGCCTTACAGCCAGACGTTGGGCATATTAAAAATAGAAACAGAACTGGCCTGGACTTTAAAAACTTTTTTATTCTTCCATTTACGCTTCATGTCCGTGCATGGCTCATGAACACTTTAAAAAGTGTGATGCTGATAATTTGTCGAGCACTCTAAATCTACGAGAGAAAAGAAATTGCCCGGCATGTGAGATGACTTAGATCGAAAATCATCAAGGCAGTTTCCATACAGCAGCCTAAAACACGGTCTTCACATTTTAAAATATCAGTCAAATCAAACTATGTCAAATATAAGTGAAAGGGTAAAGAAGGTTGGTTTTGTTCACAACAAAACAGGTTGCAGTGGTTTGGAACCAAAATCGCTGAAGTCTAACATAATGATGCAAATTTAAAAATACAACTGATGTAAATTCATGAACAAATAAGAATGAAAATACCATACCTCAGCTTTGCTTGATGGGAGTACTCCACTTTCGTGTGAGACAGATGGCCAAATGGGGAAACATGGTGTTAGAATATGACTGCAAAAAGGTTGAGGGGGAAACTTCTCACTTTTTAAGTTCCGCCGCCCGCAGTGTGTCAACTCTTGTTCGCTCAATTCTCAGCACTGCACTCGGGTATTTGTAGAGTTTCTGTCGTCCAAATCACTGGCAATTTGTGACTCCGGGTAGCAGGGTAGTTGTGCTTGACATCAAGCGTGACCACTGACCATCTAAATTTGAAGAAATGGCCAAACCGTACAAGTACTATATTTCTAATTTGGAAAGAAAAGGTAAGTTCCTGACTGTAATTCAAACTTCAAATCTGAAGTACAGGTTGTTCACGGCCTATCCAGGTCAGATAAAACAAAAATACAAAAGAAAGAACACGTACACACAACATGTAAAAATAGTTGTCAATAAGGACATGCTGGAAAATGAGACGATGCCCACTGAGATTACAGGAAGCATAGTTCTATCATTTAAACCATCTTCAGGCACATTTTGATGGCGCGATCGAAGTTACTGAGATTTCTTCAGCAGGCTGAACTGCTTTCAGGATTCAGGTTTCATTTTTGAAGTTAACTTTATTCAATTGAAAGTTAATCATGTTAATTAAAAGTGCAAAATTTTGCTCATATTTAAATGTGTACCAAACCTTGACAATTCCCTGTAGAACTAGAAACGGAGCTCCACTTCACAGTGCCACTGCCATGACGGTCAGACTGTCCTAAAATTCTTCCTCGAAACCACCCTTGAACCGAATCTATCAAACAACAATAAAATATAGACTGCCAGAATCACGATAAATTCAACATTTTACATGAACATCCAAAGATGTTAACCGCCATGTTAACAAAATATTGTCTAGGTTTATGTACACATAAGACTTAGCGTTGTAGTGAGGTCCTACTCACAGGCCTACAGCACAGCTAAAAACCACTGAAACGAATATCATACGGCGAGGTACCGTATTATCCCGTTATGTCCATACTAGTATGTAGTTAAGACATGTACAGACCCGAACAAGTTGACTGATTTTTTATTTTTCTGTAAAAGCAAGTAAAAAAATCATTAGTCGGCGAAAGACTTAAATTATTGACCACATCAACAGTAATTCTTCACGGCCACCAATTCCTTGCAAACGCACCGTGTCTTCTCAGTTGTTTCCTCCATACATGATCATGATTCTCCATACATGGTCGTGATGGTTGACTCATGACAAAAGGATCGCTAATAAAAAGTATGGTTACTTTGTTGAGAATGACTTGACATCATCACTTCTTTGGCAATGTGAAAAAAAGTTCCAGTTTGTGGAAACATTACACCATGCAGTGTGCACAGTTTGGTCACAGTATGTCAGTACATGTATGTGTAAGTAAAAATGTTCAAGAGCACAGTTGGTTGTGACATTCTAATTCAAACTGTAGGCTAGTCGTCTCCGCTCACAATGTCTGCAGTGAATGTGGTATGTGTCAAGGGCACTCTGTGAATACGTGTACTTTGTACCGCACTCAATTAATGCTTGTACTGTACATGCACATGTACCCTGTACTTGCATAATAGAGGACTGTACTGTTCTGTTTACTCCGTTGGCAAATGAAGTAAATGTCTAGACTACATGTGACCCCGCCAACAATAGACTGCGCCATGCGCCTCCAAATTATGACTTTTACAAAAACATTGTCGAGTACTTAAGTAAAAAATTGTGCAAAATATCAAACAATATTCTGCCAGTAGCTTTGGCACACCTTTTACACCCCAGCACTGATGCAATAATATACAAAATGAAGAAAAAGACAGGTTTTAAACTAGTTAGGTCTGCCATCGGAGGATGAAATTTAGCCAATAACAGAGCAGAAAAAATAAAGCAAACACATGGCGACGGCTGCTCACGCCGCGCACGCCGCGCACGCCGCGCACGTGCATGTAGCACGCGTACACGTCATTGTATTGCATATATCGTGACACTCGTGCAATGAGTTTAGCTGTTGGGGAAGATTTGTTGCTTGCATTTCGCTGGCAGCAAGGAAGGTCAAATTCTTAACACCTGTTCAACTTGAAAAGAATGCTGTACAGAATGGGAGAAACTGGAGACAGAAAGGATAGAGTCCCGCTGGGAAAACCGAGATTCTTGCAAGATTGAACATCACACACTTTGTTTATTTTTTGTATAAAAGTTTTTCTGGTCATTACCTATATGCACTCAAGCCTTTATTCTCTCATAATTACTTGAATTTTTTTACTGTGTAATTTAGGCACTAAGTCTACTTAGCCCATGGTGAGATGTTGCAGCCTCAGCCGCAGGTATGTGACCACGAAGAAGTAGAAACACATTTGCTTTTGCATGCCAAGTTCCCATATGATGACGGATATACTGCTCTATTACAATTGCAGTCCAGACAATGGCGTAGCTATCATTGTATTCCTACAAGGGTCAAAATTGCTTTTCCACACAGGTGATTCTAAAGACAGCGTTGCCTTCATGTTGCAGTCTTTTACAATTCTAAATTCATTTGTAAATATTGGGATTGTTCAAATGCGAGCAATTTTACTTAGCCTTATTTATCTTTACATGTGATATACAGGTACGTCCCATTCGCTTGTGACATTCCCTTTTACAATATTACCTGACTCAGATACCATTTATGTTTTGCGTACATCACGTCACTGTGGAGAATGAAACCATAGTCTAATATGATTCACAGCTGCTTGCTGTCCACCACACTGCTTAAGGTAGTTCCAGTAAAGAGCTGTGTGTCCTTTCACATCATTATTACGTTATACTTAAAAGAAACCGGTGCCAAGGAATCGACCATCGATTTCACAAGTACGGCAAATGCTTTGGGCCACTGAGGATGTTTGCCAGGCTCTTGTTGGGCTTCACTCTATCACTGACTCCGATACAACCAGTGCAAGTTATTCGAAAAGGGAAAAGGGATGCATTCAAACTCATTACGACTTGAGCTACGTTCATCCCTAAAATACAAACTAGCAGCTCTTTGGAGTCAAGAAGTAAACAAGAACAAGTGCAGGTATCACATGTATACCACTGGGAAGAAGTATTGTGAGGAACAATTTTACCCCAACGATGATGCCTGCTGTCTCCATCTTGCAAGAAATGGTTGTCAATCATTAATTTTTAGATGGATGCTACAGCAAAAGATAAATGCCCCATTTGCAGCTGAGTTAGGGTTTGATGTAGAGGTAACCATACAATGGCAAATAAGGAAACCTTCCGCGAATGCAGTGCTTAAAATTGATCAGCTGCTCTTGTAAACAGTTTCGGTGCTCCTTGCTCCTACGCAGGTGCATCAAATGAACTGTACAGATTTGTGCAACACTTTAGGATAATGAAACAATGATGAAAACCTGAGAAATGAAGCAGAAGCAGGTAACATCAACTTCCAAGGCCAGCACATTAATGATGGTACTGACTCTGCTGTCTCAGAGGACCTATAGTGTGCTTGTGACTGCAACGTTGCCAAAAACTTCCTTTTATTCCTTTCAAGTGAGTGGACTTGGTGGATAGTCTTAGGTGCGCGAAAATTGCCAACTCGAGGATATTAATAGCTCACGCCCTGTTCATAGGGATCTGCATAATTATGTACATAGTTGGGTATTTTTTGTATGGTATAGGGTATTTTTACTCTACAGTTTGGATTACACATAAAGCAGTATGATTTATAAATGTAATTCGAATTCAATTAGATGAAGAACGAGTACATTCTGACACTGTACAACACAAGGAAGCCGTGTAGCCGTGTAGTTGCGTAGCCTCAGAAGAGCCAGAGAGAGACAGAAATGCGTGTCTTAAATAGTACACCGTATTTGAACTGACTGCTCCTTGTGTTGGAACTCATAACAAGCTAGGACAAAAACAAGAATCTAGGATTCCAGTCGATGTACCTGTACAAGTATTATTACAAATCGGGCGGTTATCATAGTCATTTGTTCATCCTATTCAGCTTTATTATTGTTGTTGATTCTTGTGTTCATACAGTTACTGAAGGTTAATAAAATTTAGTAGAACTGAGTTTGTAGTTCAGAAAATGGTGTGAATTAGAACTGTTTAAATCAGACGAAAGAACGTTTTGAGGAACTGTCTGTTTTGTGAGTGTGGGTTGCATATAAATTAATTTTCATAGTGCTGTAGTTGAGTCCACTATTTTCGAGTCCGATCGAGCCCTGCTACAGTTCGAATCGGAGTCCAAAAATCTGAGTAATGTCTATTCGAAATAGAGCATACATACCGTAACAAAAGTTTGGAGTCAGATTTTGTTTAATCATCATAAATTGGAATCAGACATAGGTTTAATATTTTGTTGCAGTAAATGATTCCCCGTCTGTTGCAAAATGATAAACATGCCCATGTGGCCCTCCATAGTTACGCCATTGCCATGAGGTTTATAAATCGGTCAATTTCAGGAAGACTCGTGCGTTTATTGGGCTAAGTCCTGGAGTCTTTTGGAAAACGAAACAAAAAAAAAAGAGTTCGAGTCTGGACCTTTCAGTTGAGTCCGAGTCCAAATTGTATGTAGGCCAGCGATATTGGTTTGTTTTTGATTCACTTGGTGGTCAGTTTTACTCTGACACATTTCATTTTATTTACTTTATTGAGGTATAGTATTTCGTGTGCATTTACCAAGTGTGAACATTCTTTGTCATATGCAGCAAGGTATGAGACGGAGAGAACNAGTCTGGAATGTGTTTAGGGATTGGACATGTTGGGGGGGTACCCCTCGGTCTCATTTCTTGCTGGGTTTATTCTTTGTTTTCCATCTTTAATTAGTCCGAGGCCACTTACATATTGTGATTTTCTTGAAGCGTGCTTTGTCTCGTTGATTGTTTTATAGATTAACCGCAAACTGCAAGGTTTATGCTTGACTAGATGTCTTAAGCCTGGTTTCCATATTGACGTAAGAAACGCAGCGAGCAACGCAATCAGGACGCAAACTGCAACGCGGACAAATGGAAACATGCCAAACAGAAGTGTCGCCGACAACGCAGACAAACGCAAACCAGCCCACAAACGATCGACCAAGTTGAGCCAGGTTCAATTTTGCAGACTGCGTTGAGTTGCTGGCGTGACCGGCGTGCTACGATGACCCTCTCGCCTAGTTCCACGAATTTTGCCCATTTTCTCCTTAATGCTTAAATATTACACCCCACTGTTCAACTAAATAGCTGATCGTCAATGAAATGCGTGAAACTGGAGTACAAGTGTGGCATCATGAAGCGATAAGGTCAATCTAAAAAAGTGTAGTCCACCAAAAATCACGGAGTTTCTGACGCCATTTTGTTTCAATTTTGGGTAGAATGGCACCATGCACTGTTTCTTCCGTTCGTGGCTGCGTCTTCATATCTTGCGTTCTATCTGCGTTACAACTGACCATGTGAAAAGCCAGGCTTTAGTGTATTCAAGCAGGCCACATCAGCAATATCACATCAAATCAATATCATATGATACTGAAGGTCGATTTATGGTATTTCTCTTTGCTTCAATACAGCAAGTCCTTGCTCTTGAACGACCGATATGGCTCATATATCAGAAATTCCAGTTTTTGTCGCCTTCCTGCATATGGCCGTCTGGACGTCAGCTTTGGAAAAAGGTCAAGTTCTGGACATGACTTACCCATTTGGTGAATCAACCTTGTACTGGCCTGGCAATGGAATGTTTGAATTGGATATTCAGGCACGGGGCCCTTCTGGTGTTCTGCCCTGGTAAGAATAATTAATCTTCCAATTTTGCTGGCATTGAAGTAAAGAACACTAAGAATTACACGATATTCCAGGTTAGCGTTTAAGTGGCTTTTGTTGGAATTTAAGCAGCTTATTCAGCGGTGTGTAAAGTCAAAGGTCTCAACAGCCTGGTTACTCTTTGCATGAGATACTCGTATGAATAATGTGCAATGTACTTATATTCTGAAACAAACTGAAATGTAACGCCTCGTTGTTATGAAAGTCCGTGTGTCCCAAATCTTTACACCGATTTACCCAGAAGACGGAATATTTTACATTCAAGGTACGAGGGTAATGCATTCAGTGGTCCAGAACACGGCGGAACTCACGTTGACGCTCCCTCCCACTTCTCTGAAGGCAAGCTGCGTGTGGATGAAATACCAGTTACCAAGTTTAGCGGTCCGGCCGTTCGAGTGGACATTACTGTTAAAGCCAAAGAGAACGAAGACTACGCGATGTCGGTTAAGGATCTGCAGGACTGGGAAGCCGTCCACGGCAGGATTCCGGACGGCTCTCTGCTCTTCGTCTACACCGGTTGGGGAGCTTTTTACCCGGATCGGCTGGCCTACTTTGGGTCACCGCGCAACGATACTTTCCTGGATGATCAAGGGCAATCATTGCTCCACTTCCCAGGCGTGGGGCCAGAGGCAGCTACGTGGTTGGTCGCAAATCGAACCATATCAGGTCTTGGGATCGACACGCCATCCATCGATCACGGACAAAGCACTAGTTTTATGACGCACCAGATTTTATTTGGCGCAAACATCTACGGCATCGAGAACGTGGCTAACCTCGATCAGCTTCCAAACACGGGAGCGAAGGTGTACGTACTTCCCATGAAAATTGAAGAAGGGAGTGGAGCACCTGTTCGCATCATCGCCATGTTGGATGAAGAGGGTACCTCTGCCGCAACCACTACGCCTCCATCTGATGCCGTGTATTTACACGGCCTGTTTTTGCTGTGCTTGCTGCTTTGTTAGAAATAGGGAGAGGGTAATGTTTAGGAACTAACACAGAATGTTTTTCGTAGTATTTCTACTTTTCTATTTCTAGCATAAAGGTTTTGAAGAACATGGGTACTTTTGTATTTCTGGTGGGTAGAATGAGCGTCGTTTGGTGCCTGCGCGCTTTAATCGGCATTTGTCTGCTCCGTCAGGTCGGAATTCTTCTAAGGTCGGCATGTTCAAACAGCATAACAATTAAAGTATTGTGACTTATGATGTTTCCTCCTGATAAAACTTCCTGTAAGTACCCGCCTCGAGTTGAAGCACCCAATCGTCGTTTGAAAAGAACCATTTTGGTCGAAAGAGTTCATTTTGTTGGTGGCGATGCGACCGTAACGCGTGCATTTCATAGTCGTTCGTGCAGCGAAGTTCGATTCCGACCAAACTGAGCCGCCATTGCTGAAAAAATGCAGCCTCTCTTGATTCAGCGCAATTCTCATACCAACTGTTCTTTCGATGCGCAGCACGCTGAGTACCGAGAACTTGAAAGTTATACCTTTAGCCCATTATGTTGCAAGTAATTTAATGAAACCGACAGTTCTACTCAAGACGGGGACACAATTAGGTCCGAAAATGGGGCATATTTTAAGATCAAACAGCCTGATATAATAGAGACGAAAGAGAGACACAGTCAATTAACTAATCAGTGTTTGAAATCATCATTCCATCATTCGATGCCTTCCTAAAATTATTATTTACTCCAATTTACTCCACGTTTTACCCAAGTTCAATGTTTTCGTTCAGACTCTTGTATATACAAAATGCTGCATGTACGCAAAGACCATGCAATAAAATAAACATTGATCTCCATTATCGCGCATTGTTTGTGCGGAGGAGGGTAATGTGATGCTGTATCCTGTGCCTTTATGGTCAACATAACCTTTTTCTCATGGGATGTTGGCTAAGCCCTCGGCCTCCCTCCCGAAAACAAGCCAAAATAAACATAAAATGCAAGAATATCATTTCCGGAAATAACTGACAATTTTCTTATTAACTAACCCTTTCGAAAGCGATAATGTTAACCTGTTTTTGTGTGTGTTTGTTTTTAATTGTATTTGTTACACCTATTGTCTGCGGTCTTGCTTTAGCAATTTTTCACTTTGGGTCGGTTCAATCGTTATTTGTTCAGTGTGTAAAACTGTGAGAATTCCATCAGGACATGCAATAAGTTTTGTCAGTAAATATGATGTCGAAACTGTTCATGGGTTTTTCCGTCTGGTTTCGACGAGCCAACATTGAAAAAAATCATCAATAAAATTATTTTAATTTTACACACTCTCAGGAAAAATTGTACTAAATAAAATTCATTCATATATGGAGTAATACGGAAGTGTGAGAATCTTTTCTGTGAGCACAAAGTGAGCGCAGCTTAAAATGAGCGACCAAACTAACTTCCTGCCGTTTTAAAAAAGACACTTATTAATCAGCTGAAAAGGTTTAGTTCACAACGTGACTTAAAAATTTACATTTAACAACTACTTTCCGGCATAAAAAGTCAGTTTTAACTGAGAACGAATAATGCTGTTATGTAGACAAAGTTTCTTTTATTGCGTTGACTTTGAATTCCCTTGTTTGTAACTTCATTCAACAGAAACGTTAGCACATCTGCTTGTCACTTTGGTTTCATCTCTACCCCGAAGAGGAATCTGTTATATCACGTCGCCTGTCACACGATTTAGGTTCAGTGCATCTTTGGATCCGACAAACACAAATCATGGCTGTCTTGGAGATTTTTCCGGTGAAATCTGGTGAAAATAAACGACAAATTAGTCATTAAGTTTTTGAAATCACTTTTGCCAATAAGTAACATTTTACACGGTCCCAGCTTCGAGATAATGAAGTTTCATATGCAAAGCCTGGGAGGCTAGATAGACTGTCATAAATTTCTTACTAGGCCTACATAGGCTTAACTTAAAGTTAAGCATTATAAAGTACAACTTGAGAAACTTTCTGAAACTAAAAAAAGTGCGACTCACATTTCCTTCTGTTCCTTCTTCCAAACTTGACATTGATCTTCGGTAATTCACTGCTGCGTACACCTCTACCTTTATTCGTTCCAAATTTATCCATTCTAAGTGCCTAATTCAGTTTTTCTTCGAAATCTGACGATTGAAGCACAAAAACCTCAAACGGGTTTTGTAAAACTCCATTTGAAAGTACACGCAATGAAATTTGTAACGCTCGTTATTTACCCTCCTGAAAATACGCATACGCAGGACGCATTTTGGACGCAATGTCCTATCCAGTCTATGGGTGCGTTCGATTAGCTTCCCTAACACACCAGTGTTACACTCAAGGGAAGCCTCAAAATGAGGCTTATCGAACGCTGCAGTATGTTTTCCAAGGCATTCTGGGAAAAAGATCAAGTCCCCGCCTCGTTCCATCGTGTACGTCCATGCTCGAACAGTCCATCCGTGACGTCATTACACTCGGGCAGCCTCCAGAGACCCGCTCGCCAGCTGGGGTAGTGGTGGCTGACACCAGGGCAGGCACGAACATCGCGTGATGGCTAAACGAACGCTCTCGTGTAAGTTTGACTTTTAAGTGTAAGCTAATCGAACGCACCCTATATAATGGAGATCAATGGGAATAAATTCGTTACACGTACGCATTGTGCTCCGCGTCAAACGCGCCATTGATCTCCATTATAAACGCTCGCCTATGGGTGCATTGCACCAAATGGTTGTATTTCTGCGCGCGAGCTCATTTATATTATGATCCCAAAGGCTTTTACAATAAGACATGCCATAATCAGGAGGGAACATAGAAGTATTTCCATAAAATCGAATTTGGGATTGATAGTTTCCAGTTCGGGGTATTTCTTTCACAAAAAGCCCAGAACTGGCGGGCCTATTTTGGATAGAGGCGAGCGGCTACATGCAGAACTGAGCCCATAGTGTTACTACCTATGGGTGCGTTCGATTACCTTACACGTGTAAGTCAAACTTACACGAGAGCGTTCGTTTATCCACCACGTGATCTTCGTGCCTGCCCCGGTGTCAGCCACCACTACCCCAGCTGGCGAGCGGGTCTCTGGAGGCTGCCCGAGTGTAATGATGTCACGGATGGCCTGTTCGAGCACGGACGTACATGATGGAACGTGGCGGGGACTTGACCTTTTTCCCAGAATGCCTTGGAAAACACACTGCAGCGTTCGATTAGCCTCATTTTGAGGCTTCTCTTGAGTGTAACACTGGTGCGTTCCGGGAAGCTAATCGAACGCACCCAAAGATAGTATAGCGCTGCGCGCCGCTCTATACTATTTTTGGTTACTACTATTTTAGGGGGAACCTTCTGGGAAAAGCGAAAAAAAATTTGTGGCTAACCCCAGAAAATTTTAACGAAAAGTGATCTTCTAGCTGTAATCTTGAATTTACAGAGGAAAAATGGAGGCCAACCTCTTCCCGAGAATCAACAGGCGGCGCTATTTCAGTTTGATTTTGCACTGTTTTCTATGGGAGCGTATTTAGGTGTAGTGCAACCCTATGGACCTTATCGCAGGTAATTGTTTTTTTATACTCCGCGTGCGGACGCAAAGGACAGTGGGTAAAATTGTGGTCAACAAAACCCGCTGATTGCTGTTTGTCATACGTAAAGTTGCAGCCGTGCCTGGTTTGAAATGAAAATGTAACACCATGAAAATCGGTCTCTTTTAAATTTTAAAACCATGAATCTCTACTGAAATAAGCGACGATGAAGTGTGGAGTCACATCCGAGGTTTACCTGTAAATACACTGAAGGAGATCTTGACAACGGCAGAAATTCCAACGTCAACAACGAAAGAAAGTCCTTAGAGAACTTTTCTACGCCGTTTAGTAAGGGTTTCCGGTATTTGCTCAATGCAAATGAAGAGAAAGAGAGCAGACGGCAAGCTAGACTTTGCATACTTAGGTTTAGAGAAAACTTCAAGCTGCTTCACCTACTTACACTTGAGGGCTGGGAAGACACTGGGAAGACACTTCAGGCAACATACCACCAATTGGCCCGGAGAGCATTGCCTGAATCAATATTTCCGGAGACGTAAGTGTTCATTCATGTGATCAATGCAATGGTGGGAAAGATTTTACAGTTAATTATCCGGTTGCAAACGGAAATCGTCTGAGGTACCTGACAGCAGAAAAACTTACGTTCGTGGACAGGTATTCATCCATAAATATTCAAAAATTAATCAGTTACCTAAGACACTTAAGTATGACAATTAAGTCTGTTTCTCCGACACGGACGGCCGTGTGCTATACGATGCTACCACGGTCACTGCCTGTCTGGAAACAGAATTTATTTCCTTTGCGTACGGCTTGGTTGTAATTATTTTTGTATCAGTTATGATCTCTATGAAAGTCATTGTTGATGGAATATTGAAATGACAGGAATCTAGAACTGAAAAAGTACGTCAAATGTTCTTAGAAAATACTTTGTACGCGACCAACTGTGAGCTAGGATGCTGCAGTCTTTCCTCCAACTGCACACACTTCATCCATGATATATCCGTGAATCTAGCCATTTTTATACATGGAAGAACTTTTTATATAACATGCCGAGTCATTGTCTAGCTTACTTGTCTATGTTTTTTTCTTCTAGGCTATCCTTGAAGAATGAATCATTTAGGGACGTAGGACAGGAATTGCTGCAGCTGTACTTCTGTTTCTACTTATTGTATGCATTCGACTTTGTTTATTTTCAAGGTTCATCAGTAACTGAGTGGATTCATAAACTGAAAATGACAGTTTGTTTTCAAATAAAGATTCTTCTGATAGTTGTTACTGTCAAAACATACTCACAAAATGACAGGAAGAAGACACAATGTGTAAACAGATAATGATTTCAGTCTTTGATACAAACCTGGCATAAACTTTAAAACTGTATAGGGGCTTACATTTTAATTTAATCGTTTACAACTACAGTCATTTGCAAAAGTTTAAGAACACTTGGAATTTTATTGGTATGTTTGTCACTGGACCTGTATTACATTGTCTCATTGAATGATTACTTAACATGTTTTACAGTTGTGCGTAATATCAGTGTTTTTTATAGCTGATTTCAGTTTTTTTGTGTGTGTAGATGTTGACCCCGAATTTACTCTCTTTTGAACACTTGGTCTGTACAAAAATATGGGAACTTTTTACATTACAGCTTTTTCTAGCTGTTTCCAGCTTTATTTCAAGTGGCCATTCACACCCTTACCCCTGTACAACAGGCAGCTCAAGAGGGACGGAATTATCCAGAATTGTCTCTTCGCCCTCTTTTGACCGCAGCAGCCTTGGTTCCCTCTCCTCTTTGACCTATTGATATCACCCTGCCATCCTGGTATATATCATATTTGTGAATAAATTGTGGTTGAGGATAATGTAGACATCATTTGCTTTAGACCTGTATCCGTTCTTGTATACTCATATCCTAAGTACTCTTCAGTTTTAATCAGGGGAACGTTCCACCTTCCTCCCGCCGTCCAACTGACGTGGGGCTAGTCCGCTAAACTACCAATATTGAGGATCGATATCGGAAGCCCAGGAGACACGCATCACGTTAACACCTTGGATGCTACCATGCTGTGAAGGGATGTCGGACAACTCGACCGTTTGCCAACTCGACTTCGGACAACTCGACCGTTTGCCAAGTCATCCGTTAGGACAACTCGACTCTGACAGTGAGACAACTCGACCAGTGAGATCTCTTCACATTATACAGTCGTTTTCCCAGTTCAAGATAGCCAAATTATTCAATCAGATTGCAGCTCTACATACATCGTCGAATTCCAGTGAAATGTGGTCACCGTCCACCTTGTGTGATAACGATACCAGGGTTACCACCAAATCAGTTTCAAATTTTAAATTTTTAATTCGAACGTACGGAATCGACGAAAGTGGGGACGCTTTTTCTCGTTCTGGATCGGTTTTCGGAAAGTAACCACGTGAGAGGCAAATCTATTTTCAGCCAGAACCATTGTAAAAAGCTTATATATATTTTCTAATGAAAAATTCCTCAGTTTAGAAAATTTGGCTCATAAATAAGAATTCCAATGAATTTTTTAAAAAATTGGATCTTGTGTAAATTTCGACTCAACTTTTTGAGCTGCACAGCGTGAGCCATCAACCATACTACCTTGCACCGCGCAGGTGAAGAACCCATTACGTCACGACATTTCTGCAACGTCCGCATAGCGAGATGAGCTCGATAAGTATATTGCGTGCATGCACTTAATGCGTGATCCAAAACTAGGTAACAATACGCGTTCAGTTTTCGGCCAGTTTTAATAAAAGGCAACCTTGAAAGTCATTTTGATTAAACAGACATTAGATGCAAGAGCTTATATGACTGTTGAGTGTGAAAAAAGGATTGGGATCACTCGCAGTGAGTGGCATATATCGCCATAGACTATTCGGCTTTTTTCCCTGCTATCGTTCCAAAATGTCAAAGTGCAAATCAGAATTCTGGCCAAAATTTCGATTTGTCTCTCCCTTTTACGCACGGACGGTCCAGTTGTCTCAATGGTCGAGTTGTCCGAAGTCGAGTTGGCAAACGGTCGAGTTGTCCGGACCCCCCATGAAGTATGTGTTTCAAACTGAGGGTCTCTTACGAGCAGTAAAGCCCTCCAACAGGTTGGCCGATCAGCAGCCTGTAATGCCCGAAAAGCAACCGTACTCACAACTAGATAGGCAGCTCCCGGGTATGTCTAAGCAACCTTTTTCATATTTGAATGGACTCAGTTTAGACCTGTGTTACCCTACCTGTCCCTTCCCTCCCAAACTGCTATCTAACTGTGCTACTCTGCAAATGTAGGTAAAACAGAGATGAGTTGTTTTCTATAGGCCTAATGCAATTCCCAAAATCCAAGGGGATTTTCCGTTCTAGTAAGAGAACACTCGCCTCTGTCTACCATCCTTTTGTGTTAAAGAAACAGAAACAAAAACCGGGAGAGAGATTTTAAAAAACAAAATCTCCCCCCCCCAAAAAAAAACACACACACACACACAAATGCATCCTCCTCAAGCAGAAGCGCCACCTCATCGACTGAAAAGAGCCGAGTTGGTCGACAGGTTTCATTTTGTTGTTAGCAATGCGACCGTTTCGCGCGCATTTCCCAGTCGTTTGTAATCCCGCGAGGTTCAGTTCCGACCAAAGGAGCCTCCGTTGCTAAGAAAATAGCGTCCTCTCTTTGTCCTGCTCGAGGCCCACATTAGGGACAGGTCCAACCTCTGTTGCGAAAAATTCAATATTTGGGTGATAACAACTTTAGTGTATATGTGGACATCAATCTTAGCCAATTGCAACACATGCAAGAAGTATCCTTGCTCTTGAACCGGGCAGGGAAAAAACTATCATGAAGGCCACACCCCAATCAACCGACGTAAACTAAGCCAGGTCGTTTGCCATTTTACCACACTGCATGTGCAGGTGTGAAAGCAAGTAGCTGTGAACGTCCTTGTAATTAGTTCATCCATGGTTCAGCGAACCATGAAGCAAATCGCACTAGTCAGTGACGCGGGGACAACACTAAAACGTGATGAGCGGACGTGCCTCAGTTCACCTTGTCTATTGTGTGCCTAAACTCGACGCCCTATTGACCTGCAGTATGACCTTAGTTCTTGCTCGTGTAGACTGCAGCTGGACCGCTGTGTAGTTCACATGACCACCGACATCGTTAGACTGTGCAACGTTTATCTTTATAATTCAAGACTCGGAGAATTTGTAACTTACATAGGTTTTTAGGTGGACAGAGACACAGGGTACGTGAGACACAGGTAACGTATGACTCTCTTTGGCAGGTATAAGTTATTACCCAGCTGGTAGTGTGCACCGTAAGCCCTGTATTTTCAACATAACTAGAATTGCTTCGGCATGGTAATTCTGCAATAGGTCTTCGAATAGCACAACTCAGGTGTGTTCAGCGACGACATTGGTCAGTTTGCTAGTATCAAGAGCTAACATGCGAACCCAACCGGGGGGGGGGGAGGGCCAAGGGCATGGGTGTAAATCCCAGGGGAATGGGGGTATATCAACTCACCTTTGGGTGGGGTGGATGGGCTATTGAATCATCTTTCCACCGTTTGTGGTGAGTAAAAAATTAAAGCGGATTGTAAAGAGACTTTCATTTACTAACATGCGTTCGATATATCACACATAAAGGGAAAACAATTTAAAAAGCCATAGTTACGCGCTCAGTATTCAATCATTTGGCACCCCACCCGCTTTATACATTTCATGATTTCAAGGGGTTGACGGAGCCATGACCTTTCACGGTGCTCCATTGTATTTCCGCATTTTAATTAATGAACCCGGAGAGGTTTATCTGTCCTTGACCAAGTATAGAGATAAATGATCCATGAAAGTTCCATGGACTCAACCGATTAAAAAAATAATAAAAATACATAGCTCCCCTGTGGAATAAAACTAGCATAAGAGCAAAAAAGCCTTACAAACCCCTCTCATTTTGCCTACAGTTTGTATGGATAGCAAGAGTTTGCAGAAAGCCGCCCTTTGGTTGGTTTTCAATTTTACCTGAAATTCGTTTAACATGTACATTCTTTCCATTAATTTGAAAGCGAGTTGTTTTTCCATTTAGTATTCATTAATAATACGTGTATCTGATGTTTGGTACCTGCGCGGGATTTTAACACTTTTTGAATTATTCATTTACTTTTGTACTGACGTCTAGCCACAGTGTTGCTGTAGCAGTTGTGCAGCAAAATCTCTGTTTAAATTTAAGTCAAAATTACATTGTGGTTTCTTTAAAAAAATTCTCTAATCCCACAATATTTGTAATTTACTGTATAATCTCTTTTCAGGTACACTTTAATAGTTTCATTTTGCATTACATGTCTGCAAACCATTACATCATATTTAGGAAGTTCAACCTACATGTAATTAGCATTTGCTCTTCCCCAGGGCATTTGGATAGCTGTGTCTTTTAATACACATGGGGTACAAGGATTCATTGTGATTATGTTTTCTTAGCCATGCAGTCAGCAGTGTCTGATTTGTAAATTTCACCACTAAAAGCTTTATCAGTAAGCCAAGTTGTATTTCCAGAGTTTGATTATAATGTGGTTCCCAGATCATTCCTGTGATTAATAGACCTTAAGATAGCCCTTTATGGCGAATTTAGTTTTATTTTGACCCTACAAAGCAACGATGAAAATCTGGAAAAGTTCATGAGACTGTCAGTTAAACTAAAGTGTACTTAATGTTATAGTGTAAACACACCCACACAAGTGTGTGAACGCCTTCAATCGTGGACTTCCTATTGTTCCTCTTTTGTTCATACTTGAACTTTTTCGGAAGACCTCCCCCCCATATGTTTTGTACACGTTTTCCAACCGTAGACTCTTTGGCAACCGTGGACCCTATTGTCCGCTATTGTTATAGGTCCATGACTGACGGCGCTTACACACTCACGCAAGTGTGTATTTGCATGCAACTGGGGACCCCCTATTGTTCCTCTTTTGTTTGTACTTCAACTTTTTTACAGGACCACCCATATGTTTTGTACACAGTTGTCAATCGGGGACCCTCTGTTAATCGGGGACCTTATTGTCCTCTATTGTTCAGGGTCCCCAATTGAATGCAGAAACAAACTCACACACACCCAAATGTTCCACGCACCACGTTCCACTTACCTAGGTTTAGGCCATCTTTTTCTCATGCTCTTCCCCGGGTTATGATGTGATTTGTGTTTTTTCATATACTTTTATCAATTTTCAGAGTGTTACCTAACGTCTGGGACTTATAGGCCTAGTGTTTATTTTTTACCACCTATCGTTTGAGGCCTACGTCCAACTTGTGAAGTTGTCTAAATGACGGAGTCGCCATTAGCCAGTAGCCTGGCCCCTTTGACAGTACTAGTGTATAGTTGTTCTTCACATAAGTTTGTGAAACCTAAAACAGGCGTTTGAATAATAATCACGGGGCACAGATGCAGAGAAGTCCTGTGCATTTGTTAAAAGTTGACCGAAACTCCACTTGGAGTCAAGTGACTTTTTGAGGCAGTCGCACATAGTTTTAGCAGTCTCTATTAAAACACAGCTGTGACGTAAAAAGATCAGACCCTATTAACTACAGTAACGGTGAAAATTTCACGTTATCTGGATGCTATGGGGTACCAAAATGTGACGTCATGCACGTAGAAGCAGTACATGCCGTACAAACGGAGTACCCACGCGCATGGTACACGCTTGGTTCGCCCCCAATGTGCTCAAAAGACATTGGTGCAAGTTCCAGGGCGTGAATCAACACCGGCGGGCGCGTTCTCCATTGTTTGCATACACCTCCTGCTTGAATTTGACGTCACTCTTCGGTAGGCCTACTCCAAACGGACACGGTACACTCTGTTTAATACGAATGCCTGAAACGTGGGTTGTTCAAAGGTACCATTCACTGTTTATGTTAGGAAGAAGTTTACACCTCAAGTTGATGTTTAGATTTCTTCTCAAAGCGCTTGTGATTCGAGCAGTGTTAGCGTAGGACCTGAGAACGCCTTCCCGAGGCTTGTGTCTGCTAGTTTGGGTGATTAATGATATAAAGGTTTCCTGGCAATGGATTGTATTCTTGTATTGTGTAGTTTCTCGAAATCGTTTTTACTAAAATATCAACAAATAGAGTATCAGAAAATTAAGATTCCTGTTGTTGCCAATTTCTCTTGAATCTTTTCAAAACCCGGCATAAAAGACTAAGGTGCATTTATTACAAATGTGAATTTATTCATGAAGGTAAGTATGTATTATTTTGTCAGGAATTTGTTTCACAGGCGTATGATTTGCTTTCGGAAATTGTGAGATAAATTAGCTTTTAACTTCCCCAGTGTTGTGACTTTTTAAGCGAGTTTCAACTATATTGTTCATTTTACCTCTGGGTGTGGAGATACAATGATGGCTAACGCCTGTGTCCTTAAATTTAAATGAACCACCAGTTATTTCGAATTGTGCCTAATTGCTGATTTAAATGCATACCATTCAACTATTTGGAACGCCCTGGTTTAAATCGCTTTCGAATGACGTGTCCACTCTAAAATACATTCTTTTAGTGTGAGACATGTAATTTGCGTTGACCAGTTCAGTAATTTTCCCTTTGGAGGAACTTGCTCTTTATATTTTGTGGTTAATCATTGGCGTATCAAATGTGATTCATTTTTCAGGAAATAAAAAATTCATTAACGGAGGTCACTTTTTGAGCAGTGTTCCACCAGTGTTCCATAAATTGGCCCTTCAGGCACGAGTGTTACTCTACCCTAGGTACACCACTTCAGTGGTGCTTGAAGGCGCTGGGGCCTTGCGTTGCGTTTTGATGGTAAGCTGAAGTAAGCCACAAGGCATGGCTAGTTTTTAAGCTTTTTTCCGACATTGCCAATTCGAACACCGAAACTTTTCTTGTGTGTGGATAATGTCGGTTTTTGTCTTCATGGCGCGCCTTTGCAGTGTTTATTTTTCTTACACTATCAAACCTTTTATAGGCCGCCGAATATTCATATAGGCCACGTGACCTGCATGGTAGTGGTCGCAAATTAGGACACACTATGGTATCTCATTAACTGTTGGAGTTACGGCCAGGGTGAATTTATTTTAAAAGGGTTACCAAGTTGTATTTAAGACCATTTTCCTACGAAGGATTTTACACCAAGGTAACGTTTCCTTAGTGTACACGATCTGTAAAACCTCAAAAACAGGACTGTCTAATTATCTTTAAATGTCTCAAATACCTGTAAAGCTAGTAAATAATAATGCAGTTACTACAAAAATAGCAAAAGGTCACACGAATATGCATAAGCATAATAATATGATATTGATATGAAAATAAGTTGTAGGAGACGGGGTTTCAATTGCGCTGTTTTGACTCCCGTGGCAGTACTGAGTAACATTATCGGTCAGACTGCATTTGTAATAGTCAGTATAGTCATAGTCGAGTGATGTGTCATTCAATAAAATTATAGTCGTGTTATCAGGAGACTATTTCTTCATGCTGGCCTGCAGCTCTTTGTTTTAGCCGATTTCGCATTGTCAGTTGCTAACTCATGTGATATACTTTTGATTTGTTGTTTGTTTTGTTTTGTTTGTTTGTTTTCCTTTGTGAACGATTCTGCTGGTAGCGCAACTTCAGGCCCTCAAACGTTTTCGATTCGTATTGTAGATTGCCGTAGCCAGCAAGTAGTTGCAGCAGGTTTGGTAATTGACATTTCGTGGGATACATGCATGTTATTGCCTCGCTGTTGATTAATTCAGAACTACGGAGATGCCTCGGGGATCAGACGTTACAGTTGTGGTCGCCATCCTGTATGTGACCGTCTTGGCGTCAGCTTTGGACAAGGGTGAGATTCTGGACATGTCCTATGCATTCAGCGAATCTACTCTGTACTGGCCCGGTCTTGGAAGTTTTGAAATGGAAATTCTGTCTCGGGGACCATCTGGTGATATACCATGGTAAGAATAAGCCAGCTTATTATTTTTAAAAGGCAGGGTCAAACGAGACCAAAGGGTGCGCGCGAGTTTGCGTATGACTTCGTACAGGTGCATTCCTGTTCTCAAATGACCTTGGACGTGATTATTTTGCACATCCGGTGTTGGAATATCAAACCTTGCTCATGGATGCTTTTTAACAGCATTATTAATTACGAATTGCAGTTCAGTGTGGCATAGCAGGAATTTAAGCTTTTTCTCCTCAATTTTTAAACAAAGGACTTGGCTTTCTATCCTGACAAAAGAAAAAGTGTGATGATCATTCGCTTCTGAAAAAGATTCCGAGCAGTTGATGAACGACTGAACCAATGCAGAGCACCACAGTGCTTCTGTTAAATGCCAATTTAAGAGAGCAATGGAGGATTCAGAACCAAATTTTGAGGCCAAACTTTTGGGGGAAGGTAAAACTTTTGGACCGTCCATTTCTGAGGGGTGAGGGTAGATTTAGGAACGTTTGCACGCTTTGGGGGTAAGAAAAAAAGAACACCACGTGTTATTATCTTACATAAAGCTCTTTCTGGAGGGGCATGGATCCTCGCCCCCAGGTGTGTCAGAGTCTGAGTTGAAACACGCTTTTGGGAAGAAAACAAAAGCGGTGTGATAGGCCTGGTTACTCAAGAAAGCAAAGCTCAGCATTCTACAAATTTTGTCAAACTTAGAAATTCAGCCCTTTTCTTTATCACAGAACTAATGATGGAATACCTTCTTTTGTACCTGTAAAGGTTCGAGGCCAACACATATGCAGGCCCGGAACATGGCGGGACTCACCTTGACGCCCCTGCTCACCTGTCTGAGGGACAGCTGCGAGTGGATGAAATACCTCTCAGCAAGCTTAAGGGTCCAGCCGTTCGGGTGGACATATCTGATAAAGCCAACGCAAACGCGGACTACGAGGTGTCGGCTCAGGATCTACAGGACTGGGAAGGTGTCCACGGCAGGATTCCAGACGGCTCTCTGCTCTTCGTCTACACCGGTTGGGGAGCTTTCTATCCAGATCGGCTTGCCTACTTTGGGTCACCGCGCAATGATACTTACCTGAATAACCAAGGGGAATCACTACTTCATTTTCCAGGCGTCGCGTCAGAGGCAGCTACGTGGTTGGTAGCAAATCGGAAGATATCAGGTCTTGGGATCGACACGCCATCCATCGACTATGGTCAGAGCCTTGTTTTCACGAGCCACCAGATTTTATTTGGGGCAAACATCTACGGCATGGAGAACGTAGCTAACCTAGATCAACTTCCAAACACGGGAGCCAAGGTGTACGCCCTCCCAATGAAAATTGAAGAAGGGAGCGGAGCACCCGTTCGCATCATCGCCATGTTGGATGAAGAGGGTACCTCTGCTGCATCCACTGTTTCTGTTGCAAATGGGGCGTTGCATATAGTGCTTGTGTTTGCTTCATGTTCTGCTTGGTTGTAAGAAAGGGGAATTCCAAGATTGTGAATTTAAATTAGATATTTTGTGAAGATATAAAGGTAATTTGGGTGATCTGTTTATGATTATGCTAGAGTTTTGTTAGCAGAGGAGAATTTCTAGAAACTAAGACGGATGCTTCCCACAAGACCATTAACTTCTTCTTACTGACTCCTTTTGTTAGGGCAAAAAGGGTGGTGACGATAGAGCAGGTATAAGCTGTTCTCGGACAGTTCCTTGTTTCAAAACAGACGATGTGCTTTCCAGATCAACGCATGTTAATGTCAAGTTTCCAAAATAAAATGACCAGACTTCATTTTCGATTAATGCTCGGTTTTGGCTCTCTGTATATAACCCAACAAATTTCGGCTGAGGTCATTATCAGCTTAGGAAGCCCAGCCGGTTTTAACTCATTGGTTTTTGTTTTAAAGGCTGGCAGGTACTTATTCCCTATGCACTGTCCCTTCGCCAGGATCATGTTTTCTCCCACTGTACGCGCTATTCAAGTTCACCATTTTTCTTCAACCGCTCTTAGCCATTGCACGTCAATCGCTTCATAATCGCCACCATAACTCGTTGGTAGTAGAAGAATCGAGTGGTCATATTCTGATGCTGTAGCAGCTAAAGTTGAACATTTATGTATGGTATTCAATGATTGCAAAAAAGAGATTAATCCTAACAGTCCGCAGTCCTCCAACAGGTGAAGGATTGAGGAGTGTTAGGGTTAATGTAATAAAGTTTTATATTCGATTGGTAAGTCATGCACAGACTATTGGTCTTTCATAAATATCGTTGTCTCTGTTTTTTGAGTAGCATGACCATATAAATTTTGTGGACACTTAAAAATAAAATAAGAAAGTGGAAAATTTCCCTCACCATTAATCAAGTGGGCCACATATAGTAGTTTGATGTTATCAAATGTTACTGATCAACAAGCCAGTTGAAATAGTAACTGTACATAGTGTGGCGAAATCTCCCGAACGTAATGGTTTCCTCGTTCCTCCTGAGCCTAATTTCTTCCTCTTTCCAGAGACCAACAAACCAGTCTCAAGGCTGACGATACAAGCTCGTTTGGATGGAAATATACCGCCGATGGAATTAATTGCATAAAGCTGCTGAATACGTCGCAAAATAACACGGCCGGACACCTGATTGATTGACTCGGTGTAATTCCGATTTTATGAATTGTTCAAGGAAATGAAAGTGCAATAAATGTGGAATGTTTTGGGTATAACTTTTTTTAGTGAACCTGCTTTATGGCTGACCCTTCTCGTGCAAGGTTGAGTACCCCGCTGTATGGCTGACAACGTTGCTATACGGTTATCAGCGTTGCCGTATGACTGACTGCAATGCTGATACGATATCAATTCACAACTGCAGTGGAATTCATTTGAATGCATGTGTGGTTTACAACAGCTATGGGTTCTCTAGACAACCATATGAGACGCAGCCAGAAGAAAGCTAAGTCGGCCCCTATTTACCCGACATAGTCCATAAGCAGTAAACGCCGACGCCGCCCCAACCTTCGGCTCGCTCCCCCACACTTGGCTTACCCAACATGTGAAGCTTTTAAGCCTTCTACACGTGGAGTTCTGTTCCTCGCTCCAACGAGGAATGAATCACTCTTAACTACATTGTGTGGTTTACTAGCTTGCTCCTACGAAGAACGAACCACTTCATTCAGTGTGTGGCTTACTACACCTATTCTTCGCCCCAACGGAAAATGACTGTTTCAGCTTTCCCTTCACCTACATGCTACTGGGCCGAACGTACGTTGACCACCGGCGCCAACCTAGCGGTCTCAGCCCCTCTAATACGCATTACACACTGCAACTCAACCCGCTGGTCACCTAGATCGTGAATATAAGCCCCATTGTCGACGGCACTAAAAAGATACAGGGAATGACACTCTAAGGGAAAAACGATTTGATGATACGTACTTGAGAAGTACTGTTTAATCTGGGTGGGAAAATAAAATCTATCCTAACGAAGCAAATGAGGCTCATATATGTTCCACTTAGGGCTTGCTGTTGGAAGTAAGAGTACCAGCCAACGTTCGCTTCTTTTTTCATATGTTTCTACACCTAAAAGGAAAATTTAAAGGTTAACAGAAATTGAAAACATTTAGTTTACATGAAGTATTTCAAAATAACAATAAAAACGTATTGCAAAAACATCATATATTCAATGTTTACCCCATTAATTGTGATCCCAAAATGAATAAAAAGATCCTGAGTTTCCCCGCCCACAAAAAAAAAATCATCTTTTGGCCATTCGTGCTCCCAGGCTGATTTGATGACGTCATTGGCAGAACGCCTTCATGTCCGGTGTACATGTACATTGCATGATTGCGCACAGTACATGCAGTATCGCACTCTTGCAATAGGCCTAGCTGCGTTCGATGTAGCTTGGCCCACTGGCAAACACTGTCTCCGTTCAAGGTAGAAATTAAAAAGATACAGTCTTACTGTGTATTTCTTGAACCGAGACGTAATGAACGAAGGATTCTAATTTGTTTGTTATCAAACTGTACATAAATCAAGGTCTTTATGACAGTGTACACAAATGATATGTTACAAAGGAAAACCTGATCAAAATGAAGATATTTTGTGAGGATGTCAGAGAATTGTAACGTCGGGGTTCATTCAGAGGGATTATGGGACTTTTGGGGGTTCCTTTGGGCCTTCCCGCATTTCTTCAAGTTCTCTCTCCTCATCCATCAATGATCTGTCCGGCAAGGCATCGAGGTAGATACGTGCGAGCATGGTTGTACCAAGCTGTGCACTTTGCAGGTGTCACCTCACCAATGACAGATCTCCATATATACTTGCATGCAGGTTTACACCAGCTTGGACTCTGGCGGCTTCGTCTCCAAATCTGTCCTATAATTCATGTGGGCCCTGTGTGCCATTTCTGTCAAATTAAAAAATGGTGAATATGGGGGCAACCGCTTGAGGGTAAAAATCGTCGGCGTAATGGAGTAGTTCGGCTCGAATATGAGGCTGAGCGTTGTCATATATCGATATATCTGTTCACCAGCCGGGAATAGCAATATAATACCACATTTTTGTAAAGTTGTCGCTAGGAAATCCTCAAATGTTTCTCTCGTCACAGTATCCGATGATACTCTCCACGAGGAGCACGACCATGAGACCGATGGCTCCATTATGTTATACCAGTCTCGTTGAGGAACACTGTGTGTCCACATACACCGACCTGCGAATTTCTCCGTTCGGGAACATCTTCCGTTAGCTTACGAATTACAAACATACCATCTAGAGTTCTGGTGATGATACTGGTTGTCTTGAAGGGATTATCGGGAAGATTGGCTCGCGGTTGATTATTTAGTTGTCGTAAAGCTAGGAAGGGGTTATTATCTATTCTAATGGGAGTATGACGTAAGCTGATTGTCAGTGGTAGGCTACCGTAGATTTGGAGTGTATTGTGAAGACAGGCAAGGGTTTCCATGACAACCGCTGGTGCATGAATTTTCCTTGTTATTTTGCAGAATCAGCGTTCATGTTCATCTAAAAAATCACTAAATTTAGTGAAGTTTATGGCCCTGATTCGTTGTTAATGTATGGCTTAGGTGACAAAAGACATGATAAGGTTGTAATACACTAATGTTGATGACGTGATTGTTGGTCCGTCAAGGTACTGTTTTTGCCAGCCACGTTGAAGACGTGCTCATCTTAACCGAGTAATTTTCGGCAGTTTCGCAGTGAGTATTGTTTTAGAAATATTCTCAACGATTAAATGATAAGCATTGTAAACCGTAGGATCAGTGACTAGGATCAAAGGATTGATTATTTTTCCTTCTCTGTTCGTATTTGTCGCCCTGTGTAGCACAGCAAACTACGAAGCTGTGTCGAAGATGCACGGATATTAGCAGAGTTTTGGATTGCTATCCCATGTTATAGTTTTGAATTATTGTTGCATTTCATGATAAATAGGCTTCCATTCGCCGGCTAAGACGGCCGGGAACTGTTGAAATATAAACTACAGAAGCCGAGTGGTACCATGGTTTAGGTACCGATTTCCTTTGTGTAGAGACCTTTTGAGCGTTGTTTGCTGTCCGTACTATTACTCTCAGAGGGGTCCTCATTTCAAGATGTATGGTGGACCATGTATGTCACCAAAGATAAATATATATATACTGAAAAGTGCGGAGATTGTTCAAGTGATAGTTTTGTGAATTACTTCACACATCGGCAGTTTGTATACGTTGTGTTGTGATGACCATTGTAGCATGGTGTTGGAAAATTATTGTTGTGCACCTTGCAGGGGATGGTAACAACTGTGCTCATTTTGTCATAGGTATTGAACCTGATTTGTAAAACTGGTTCTTGATGTTTATCTAGCTACGGTAGCCAGGCTGTGCCATTACTGGGGGTAAGCAAGCACAGAACTCAGGCATAACACTCACTCAGCCGATTGTTTAAGCGTGTTGTGAAAGTTTCCACATACTTTATTTAGCTTTTCTTGTATTTATAAAGTTTTTTAATTTTATAAGGTACTCGCCAATTGCGCTGTTGGTGTAACGTTGCTGTTGCACTCTCATTTTTGTAAATTGTGTTATATCTTACCAGATGTTCTAGTTCATTCAACAAAAAAGGGGGATGCGTTCCCCAGAGATGACGTATGCCAGGCGCTAAATAACATTTACGTGATACCTTCTCTGGTGTTTTGATACCGGTACATGTAAATCCTTGTCGAAATTGTATATTTCACATGCGGGATTTTTCTTAGGGAGACTTTCTACGTGCTCCCTGTTATTAAACGGCACATTCAAAATACCTCTAGATGGGAGTCACTCATCGCATCATTTGATGACCAGTCCTACATATATGCCCTCCCCTCTCTTCACACTCCTCACACCTGGTGCACCAGGGACGATGCTTACGTATTCTGGCCCCCGACAAGGCTGAGTCTGGATACGGCCCTATATAAAGACGAGGGGTTGGCTCGCTTTCATTGTAACTATCAATGCCTCGAACGAAAGAACGAATTTGGTTAACAATGGCGAGCGAGCTTTTGTCTTACCTCTGTATTCGGCAAGGTAGGATGCCGTCAGTGGCTTTAATAACCTCTGTGTGTTAATTATGTTAAGGGATTGCGGGTCCAGATATTTAGATATTGTGGCTTGACCCCGGTCGACCCGACGAGCGGCAGTGTAGTAGGCCAGGGGTGCAGGTCACTGTGACACAGACGGGGTTTTAAGGACAGCACGGGGGGAATTGGATCCTACCTTCTCCACAGCATTTATTGAACACAAACTGAACTTGCTTATTCTTTATATGCGTTTATTCAAATCACTGTTAGATGGCGCCTAGGCAGGTTTGTATCGGGCGTTTCGATCAGCAACCAAATGAATAAACTGTGAACACTGGTGAATGCGACTGACTATTTAAATTTACGGGACTGACTAGATAAATTTACGGGACTGACATGATAAATTTACGGGACTGACACGAGGGACTTATAGAAAAGACTTACGCACTGTCTTAATCTTACGAAGGACGAGCACTACCACCAGTCAAGACTCTCCAAGTAAAACGACTAAGACTATGCTGACGCAACGAACACCTCACGTGAGACTGACTTTCCCGCCGCCGCGCGCAGGTTTATGTCCAGACAGGAGCTGTGCGACATGCCCGAATATTCCACACTGGAAGACGCCCGGCAATCATTCAGCAACGCAACTACATCTGAATTAATAAATACATAAATTCTAGAGGGCGCCTTACTGGTTACCATAATTTCGCAACAATGTGAAGTCCGTGACCAAATGTCACATTTTTTCAAGCAGCATGACTGCCTATACAGTGATGATACTCTTTAAAAGGTTTTTGCCGCCACCCGAGAAATTATATGATGGCCTACATACTCCATGCAGTTATGCACAGAAAACAACTGCCAAAAAAGGTGTCTTCTCACGAATTCATTTCATCAAATTTTCTCTAATGAAGGCTTATATATTTCGAGCTTCATACAAACAAACACAAACATTACTTTATAATCTTGATATATGATGATATAATATTGAGTATGAGTTCACGCAATAATACCATAATGATAAAAGAAAAACACTACTTCCAATCTAATTGTCAAAAATTGTTGTTTAACATCAACTTAAAGTTTATAGTATTAAGTTCAAGTTACCTTGGAAAGATATTTTTAATTACTTCACACTTTACACAACTTAATTGTCCTCTCCAACGAAATTTTCATATAATCATAATGTGTGAGTTACTTAGGCACGATTAACATTACATTTCATTTTCTATCCATGAACTGTTGAAAGAACAGTTTTGGTTTATAATTTTTTTTCATATAAGGCAAATAGTCATAAGTGCCACCTTTTGTGTACCTTTTGATATATATCCATGCCCTCTCGAAGTTTTCAACCGTCCCCTCTTTTTCTTGTTGCCACTGCCTAGAATTCTGTTTCAGAACTGTCCAAATAATAACTTCATGAATGTACGACCAGTACTGATTACACTGTAGTCTTCCAAAAAGTCCTATTTATCGTCATTTTCGTCTTACTCCTGAAATGGTGTTGAATTGGAAAAGCAAATTCGTTTTTTGTCATTCATTTCATGGATTTAATCATTCAATTTCGTCCAGATGGTTTGAATTAGCAGTTTAAGAAATTAGCGGTTTAAAACCTTGCACATAGCGCCCTCCGTCAGCTACTGACGGCCCTTTTGAAATTTCTTAATTAAATTTTTTTACGACCAAATGCGAACACCTTATATCTAATCCTATCTCTCCCGATGCTGAATAACCCAGTTTAGTATACCAGGCAAGATATGGAACGGAGGGGTACCCCCCACCTGTCCAATCCCTATACACACTCTAGACTATTGTTACCTAACACATCCCCCCTAGAAGTCTGTAAAGACTGAATTCCTGATATTCCGATCAAACAATGACCAACACAAAGGCGGGGTGGCGCTCCGTCCCATATCTTGCTTCAAATGTAGTTTAGTCGCCTTGGAGGTAGGGACTTCCCCTTAGCTGGTATCAGTTTCACCAGAGCCAGCTTGCTAAGTCCCATAGGAATACGTACTAATCCCTCTGCCACATGGCGCTTATGGGATTATTTACACAAAGGCTGCCTTGGCCAGCCAGAGCCTGTCATATATCATATCAATTGTCGGTCTCTCTGATATGTCTCTGAGCTGTCTATACAGCTGTCTGGGTTTTTTCATGTTGGGGGTGTTACATTTTTGTTGACTTGGTGCTACCCCCCCCCTTTACTGGATAAAAGGTACTGTGACCTTATTCTGACCTTTTTTGTCGTGTTTTGTTGTTGGTAGGCATTGGCAGACAGCCAGGAACACCCTCAAATCAATTTAAATGCCATTAAAGGGTCTTAGGGGCTGGGGGCATGAATTTAAGTGGCCTTCACTCATTGGCGGACTTGGGCCTATGATCAGTTAAATATCAGGACTGTGCATATTAAATTAATTACGAAATCAGGTATAATAAAATACATAACTCACTGTTATTTGACCTTCTCTTGCTAATCCGATTAAGGGGCAACGCTTTGTATACAGAATTACATCACTGACGAAACTGAATGATTCAATCAAACCACTCTTTTCAAGTTCAAAGATATGACTTTGAATCAAACAGCAATCACAATGGGGAGGTAGCATTGTGATTGTGTGTAATATTTTTACACAATTCAATTACAACAATTAAGTTGCTTTTGTTCGCATCATCGTCTTGCTTGGCAGGTCTTCCACTCATCAAAGTTGTCGTATGTCCTGTATCCCTGCGTTGTCTATGCTGGCGTGATGTTATACAACAGCAAATGCGACAGATGCATCCAACGGTGTATCTAAGGCAGGGCGTCTTCCATAAAGATTTCACACAGGTCCAGATCGAATTCCTTATAGCATGCGAAACACACAACATATAACTGCGTGTGTCATACATGTACTTATGCAAGCGATTTGGAGGACAAGACATTGATTTCGTCTGGTTCACAGATTTTCTGCGAAGCAAAATGATACTTTCAAAGAGACACCCTAAGTATTTTTCTGCTGAGTGAATGAATTCCTTAATTCGGGCGAAGAAACATACATTTTCAACGTTGTTTGTAGAAACTACTTTTCAAGCCATTTTGAATGAAGCATAAAGGTAGGATACACCATTAGTTTTTTGTCGTAATTTCACAAGATTGGACAAGTATGGTATTTAAGGTTCACCACAGCTTCATTCTACTAACTTGTTTCATGTTGAAGTCCACTGCTTTGCGAAAAATCGAGAAATTTTCAACGATCATTTGTAATTTATCTTGCGTAAAATCTATGAATTACAGGACGTTTGTAGTAAGCAAACAACACCCGCAGGGTCAGGGTGGGGAACAGGCACGACAGGTTCTCTTTCCCTCAACAAAAGCAGTTTTCAAAGGCCAGGAGTAATCAGTGAATTTACCTTGGAATAATGCGCCTTCTCGACAATGTAGCATTGCAGATTCCTGAAAAAACATCATCCAATAATGCAGTCGATTGGTGTCCTGACACTTAGAGGAGTATATGATCATGCAAGTGCGCGCGCAATCGTGCTAGTGGCCACACTTTCACGTCGCGTCGCTGAAAGTCTAAAAACTCCGTTCTTAGTTGACTATAATAGTTATAAGCAAAGAGTGTTGTCTTGAAACACGGGAGGTTTAACGTAAGGAAAGCGTAAATTTTGTTGACGAAAATCCTATCGCTAGGTAGCTCGGAAACAGCTACTCATATTTGGACCATACCATTATGCTCTATGGATGATTTTAAATTCGCTAAGTTTTCGCGCTAAGAAAATCCTTTCCCTTAAATAAATTTAACTTTATTTCCACTGTACACCTAACACTCAGCCTCTTAAATTTCAGTTCACAATGCTTTGGGTGAATTTCTGTTGGTATAATTTTTAGCTGTTTTGGGGTTTAACCGGTCATTAATGGAGACTCCCACTACATCTGCAAACGTTACACACAAGAAAATTAGCGCCTGTTAACGAATTTGATATGCGAAGTGAAACGAGCTCTTAAACGATGTTCGGCTGACCGTTTTGAAAAAAGAACAAAATTTCGGTTTTCTCGAAAACTACAGAATTCTGGAAGGAATTCTGATATTTGCTACCACCTAAAATGCAATTTATTTAAGATTATATAATTAATAAAGGTTTATCTGTTACATTAATTTGTAGAGTTTTCTCTTGACGAATCTGTGGGACAACAATAAATTCACTCATCACAGCAGATTTGTGTCCAATCCATCCCTTACCGGGAGTTTATTCTCCACCTCGTGGATACTTGGGTTCCACTCCAGGGGGGCGCGCAAGCGCTGCTGCTACACAAACAATACCGATATTGCAGTTGTTAATACTGATAAATAGATGATACACATCTACATTATTAAATTCACTTCTATTTGTCAGAAAGTAACACCAGAAACAAAGGTTTCAAATAAAAAGTTCACAAATAAAGTAGGAGAGATTGAAATAAATGTAGTTCTGTCAAACTGATAACAGAATAAATGAAATATTTCAACACAAACTACCTTGAGTATTATCAATACAACTGGTATTTAATTAGGCCCATATCACTAAGCAAATTACTCGAAATAGGAAAAAACACCCAATACGAGCGATTCGCGATTGTGCACTTCTGCAACGCATTGGCTAATCACGACACCAAAAATCTGTCAACCCTTTTAAAACGCACATTGGGTCGACAGAGTTCGCGCATTGTGATTGGCCAACGCGTTGGAAACTTTTGGAGGCGCACTTTTGTGAATCGCCTGTATTAAACAGGTTGTTATCATTTTAGTAAACTAATGCTGAAGCCAAGCAAATAAAACATGTAGTAATTGCAGGGGGAAAGGTGACTGCCCTAGAGATATCTGCCTCATCCAACATGGCGGCAATACGTACTGGTGCTCCACTTCCATCTATAATTTTCATAGGAAACGCATACACCTTGGCCCCAGTGTTGGGAAGCTTGTCTAGGTTCGCCACGTTCTCAATGCCGAATTTGTTTGCACCAAACAAAATCTGGTGGGTCATGAAATCGCTGCTCGGTCCCCTGTCGAGAGAGGGCGCGTCAAGCCCGAGACCCGATATTTTGCGATTGGCTACCAGCCACGTGGCTGCTTCTGGCGCCACGCCCGGAGAATGGAGAATAGACCTGCCTTGCTCGTCCAGATAGGTGTCGTTGCGCGTCGTGCCAAAATAGGCCAGCCGATCTGGGTAGAAGGCTCCCCAACCAGTGTAGACGAAGAGCAGAGAACCGTCCGGAATCCTGCCGTGGACGACTTCCCAGTCTTGCAGATCCTTGACGGTCATTCCATAATCTCTGTCCTGCTTCACCTTCTCGGAGATGTCAACTCGGATGGCTGGGCCTGTAAATCGACTGAGCGGTATATCGTCGACCCGCATCTTACCTTGGGAGCCGTGTGCCGGGGCATCGAGATGTGTGCCTATGTGTTCTGGTGTTCCGTACGAGTTCATTTCCAACCTATCGGAATGTATGGGTGCAAAAGAATGGCGACTATAAGGGTATTGATTTTTAAGCTCTGTTATTTAGCAAGTTAAACTTACACTGATAACAATGCTCATCGTTTGTGCTTTCCAAAAACAAAAATATACTTTGTTGACCGATCTTATGTCACAGGAAGCCTTAAGTTCAATCTAGTAACAGCAAACACCCCTCCACTCCTTTTAATTGTGAGTTAGAGCTTAGTCAAGTGCTGCCAACGTTACTCTGTTGTGCGGGGCAACTTTGACAGGTTGCTGGAATTTAAAAAACAAATAAAAAGGATTGTAACACAGTTGTACACACGAAAAATGCTTTATTCCAAGCTTCTAAGTTTACGTTATGGTAATGTCATAGAAATGTTTTAGAGAATCTTTTAAATTACAACCAAGGGGTGTGGCTTGAGCCAAAGTTATCCCAGGATGCCAAAGTAACCTCGGTTTATGGAACACACCATAATGGCCACCAACTGATATGTGTGTGTGTCCTTCCTCTATGGTTCCAGTAACTTTCTAAGGTGTGTGTCCTTGGCGCGTACGGTTGTAACTCTAGTCAATGGCGATTTTCTTGAAGCGTCTCATCTTACGGTATACACTTAAAATAACCCTCTATGAAATGTATCAATGCTGCGGAAGACTGACAGACTGACTCATACCAACCCAGAGGCGGATCCAAGGGGGTTTGTGTCAAAGGGTTTCCATCCAATGGTGATATATTAAGTTTTACAAAGACAGAGCCCATGCATTCAAAGAGGGTATCTCCCAAACTAGTCCTCTCGTGTTAAGAAAATGACCTGTTTTGTGGGCTTGGTCTGTCTGTGGGACTCCCTCATTAGGATATTCGTCCCATTTCTCTGTATCTTGCCTCCTGCAGCCTTGCTTAGAGTGTAGATGATGGATAATGGAACGGGGAAGAAAATTGAAGGGCAAAATTGGGACACTTATAGAGCCCAAATGGATCGTAAATGCGGAACTGAGACGCTGGTGAAAATAGATGATAAAAGCCTTGAACAATTTGCCAGAAAAACGTTCTCCTGATGACTACTATCTTCCCCCAAAAAGTCTTCAATAACTCAAACATCAAGCGGACAAAAGCTTTTTCCAACGGGTAAACAAAACCCTGGGTACTCCACCGTTTCCCTGGTAGTCTTCAGCATTTACAGACGAACACGGCTCTACTGACCTTGACGGCATGACAGGGATACACGTATAGTCTCCCAAAAGGGCGGATCGGGGGGGGGGGACGGGGGAAATGCCGCCCCAACTGATGAGGCGTTTTTGTTTTTGCGTTTATCAAAGTGAAGATATTTAGTTTCAGTACTGAAGGTTAGTATGTATGGACGGAGCAATTTTATTGAGGAAGTTGTTTCTGAGCATCTGCTTAACTAGTGCGATCAGTTAATGCAAAGGTGCACCAGGGACACTGCTTACTTGTCTCCTCCCCCATCATTGGGTCTGGATCCGGCCTGATGGTTTCAGCGGCTCTACAGCAACCGAATGGACTAGGATGAGATTAAACCTGCGACCAAGTGACGGTCAACTATTTCGCTTATTACAAGAAACATTTCGCCATTTGTCCAGCAAAGTGATACTAGTCATTCTATAAAGTGTAATGATGACCGCTGCTTGAGGACACCGCTGCTGCGAGTTTTATGAATGATTTTTCCTGATTACTATTTTCCTATCCTGTTTTGGATGCAAGGTACCTTCCAGCAGTTTATATTACAACACTTTTACAATGAACATATACAAATTTCAGTCAAATTTTCATACTGAAAAGCTTGCACATGCACCACCTAGCGAAATATATAAATTTATCACATTTTATACAGTCAAAGTGGCACTTATAGGGCTTCATTGCTGGCCGTTTCGAGTAATAAGATGCAGCAATGGGTAATACCCTCACATGTAATTTCATCTTTCGACAGGGACTTGTAAATTTAGTTATGGATTTTGCCCCTACACAGATGTGTGAATTGTATATTCATAACACCAGCCAAAGAAATTAACATCAACCGATATCCTCTCTAGGTGCTAGTTGTAAAAAAAAGATGAAAATCACTAGCTCACAGCATGGAGCTTATCTCCAAGCATGATTACAGGGCCTTTCGTCCCTGAAACTGTTTTACATCCCACAACATGAAAGGAATAAAGTTTGGCTCTGCTGCGGGGTGTGGTCACAGTGACCTTGCTTATATGTGTGAAATGGCCATTCTGTGGTCACCTTATATAAATTGTTTAGACTAACTGTATGGAATACTGGATGCGGAACCCGGGAATCCAGGATTGCCGAAAACCCACATGAGACCTTGGAGGAAGGATGGAAAAGGCTGGGCTTGGGCCAGTAATGCCGCAGTACGGCATGTACTATCTTACCATACAGCTATGATCTTACCAAGGCAATGGTCCGGTAGGCCCTCGTGCCTGAATAGTGAACTCGAAGAACCCCAGCCCAGGGAACGCCAGAGAGTCATCGTCAAAGCCGTATGACATGTCCAGAATTTCTCCCTTCTCCAGGGCCAGTGCATAGGCCAGCAAATAGAGCGTGGTGCAGAGGACAAGCCTGGGGAATCGACTGGTCATTTTGGAGGGTAAACACAGACGCATCTCCTTCCCTTGAGTTCCTTGCTCTTTATCGTCAAGATCTACGGTAGGGTCTACAACGACTTCAGTGACCTTGCAAGCGTTTTGTTATGAAACCTCAGTGACCTGGGCAGTGACGTTAACTTGTGCTCTGGGATGGGATGAGGAAAGGTGGGGCAGTGACTTGCATGCATGGCCATGGAAATTTAAAAAGCAGGGGAGAAGGAAGAACCATATGAACCTGTATGGGGGTGATGCTAGTGATTGAGATATACATCTGTAATATCTATTACCTTCCTGCGGAATCTTCCATCAGAACGGCATATTTATGGCTTTTTTACTTAATCGTTTTGCTTCTTTTTTCGGCGTTTTCAATACATTTGGTCGTTAGAGAGGCCCAAAAATTCCTCACAATCTGCTTGAATTTTTTCATACCACGAAAACGTGGGGATGATTCAATCCCCCCCCCCCCAAAAAAAGGGCTTTGGAATATGCCCCCATCGCCGGGGACTTGGCAACAAATCAATGGAAAGTTATCATGCGGATAAAACTTGTGCCATTTATGAAACAGTTCATGCTATTATAAGCCTATATATATATATATGTACAGATGCAAGGATTGTTTCAAGGGATGTTACTTCTTGTTTTGTACATTTGACTATCAAGTGCCAAACCTTTAATTTACCAATTGACTTCTCGTCATTTATGCTACACTTGTGTGAACCTTCACCTGCGGCCGCAGGTAGACATAGATACTGCTTTCCATGGTCTTTCTGTTTTTATTTAAAGTACGACAGGATCCAGGAACCTTATCAATTGTGGCAGGTGACTTCAACAATGAAATTTTGACAACAATTCTCCCAAATTACCAGCAATTTGTTGTGTGGCGCACCAGTCGTGAAGCTCTGCAACCCAGTATCATTATTACTGCCCATTGAAAAGAGCGTGTATGAACTTATCAATATCTTTAGCTAGCCTCGGCAATCTCATTCCAGCGTGCAAGCCGACCATAAGAATAATGGTCGGAGACTTTGGTCGAACAGTTAGTAATAGCTTTGATTGCATAATACGGCTGCTCTTTTCCTGTTTCCTACAAGTGGCTGCCAGAACTATGGGTAGCCGTCCGTACCAAAATAAATAATAATAATTTCATGAAGCATTTTCTACATAGCCTACAACATACTATATCTTATTGAGTATTGAGTAGTAAATGAAAATACACTCATTTTTAAAATAGATGAATTATTGATTAAGATGTATATTTTAAAAGAGTTTAAGTTAACCCCCTCCCCCCAAAAGGGGGCAATTTTTCTGCAAGCTATGGCCCATATTAATGTTGTGTAATTCCCGGTGACGAGAGAAAGTGAGGCGGTGAGGCCAAATTTTGGGGTTCCTGTGTCATTCTCAAATTTTGGTTTATTGGAGATCTCCACTTTGCTCATGAAAAGACCTGCCAGTACAAAATTATTAATTTAAACAAACATGAATCTTTGGTTCCATAAATCAAATCAAATCAAATACCAATTTCCATGATGCTACATGTAACTGTAGCGGTCCGGCCCCCTGGCCGATCGCTCGGGGGCGGCGGTCCGTCCGCCACTGAAGGGGGAATTGGAGGCCAGGCAGGCAAAAAGAAAGTTCAGCAGACACTGAAAGACTTGGGTGTTCAAGCGGACTGGATTTCTTTTATAATCACAACTGCTTGGACAATTAAACCGGTGCTAATCTATGTGATTCCCGGCCAAGCCATCACAACGTCCATCCACCCAGTCGTCTCACACAGCACCCCCGCTTTTCCCAAAAAAACCTTGGAAA